TGGGGCCAAAATGGCCGATCAAAGTTTTACATAGGAATATATAAGAAAAATCTTTAAGAATCTTCTTCTCAAGAACCATTGGGCCAGGAAAGATGAAACTCCTGTGGAATCACCCCAGGTTGTGTAGATTCAAGTTTGTTCAAATCATGACTCCTCCCAGGGGTAGGATGGGGCCAAAGGCCAATAAAAGTTTTACATAGGAATATATCAGGAAACCTTTTAAAATCTTCTTTTCAAGTACTGCAAAGCCATGCTTTGTGATATTTATAGGGAATCATCCTCAGGTAGTGTAGATTCTAGTGACCTCCTGCAGGGTTAAAATTCACCCTCCCCCCCCCCAACCTCAGTAAACTTTCAGTTCTGATCTGATATGTGTTTTACTGGCCAATTGCTCAGGTGAGCAATGTGGACCCTGGGTCTCTGTTTTGTATTCCACCTCTCATTGTCATTATTTAGCCTCAAGGTAGATTAAAGATTGAACTTAAAATCTGTATCTCAGATTTTTGATAAATCTTTAATTCCAAGGCTACATCCATTTGTCCTTCAATCTTACCAATTTATTGACCCAATTCTACATTTCCCTCAAAAATTTGATCTAAAGATTTCCCGGCAAAATGGTAAAAGCTAAGCTCCATCTATTTTATGGTTATTAGTGACCTGTTAGATCTCCTTCCCTAAATCTAGAGTCCCTTTAGTTTAATTACTGATAACCTCTAGTTTTTTGGCTAGTGAAGAATTCCCCAAGTGGTCACAGTGATTTATTGCTCCTTTCATGAGCAGGCATTCACAGATCAAATAAGAAGCTTCAATAACAGAACATTCACATGTGGTAGTGTTTATGTTTTTATATTGTTAAATAATTAGAAAACCATTTAATAATAATCAGCAAGAATTTTTCATGCATTATAAAGAAGTGATTAGCATCTTTTCCTAGTCAAAAATCTCAAAATTGCCAAAAATCTTGAAAACAAGAGGCCCACGGGCCTTATAGGTCACCTGAGCATTCTGCAACAACTTTCCAGTTATTGAATTTGATTCATGTTTTAAGCCAGATGCTATATGGCATTCACAATTTTGAAAGAGGCACCATTGATCATCATAACAATACACTTAGCAGTTGCTTAGCTTGGTTTATTGATTTAAATATGCCCAATAATAAGTTCATAGGATCTTCATGAACGTTTCATGAACATTTCATGAATAAAATTCATGAAAAATTCAAGGAAATTCATGAATTATTCATAATCACCTCGCAAGGGTACTGATACCCATACGCAAGGTAGGGGAAAAAAATGCATTCCAACTAATCAGTAATATTCAGCAATAATCAGTAATGCCCCTAACACTGTGAAATAAACCCCTGACCCTAGGTCCACACATAGCACAAATTTTAAAAAGGCACCGTTAAAATTGTCTATCAAAAAATAAATAAATGTTTTATAAATACAAAGGAGCAGATTTCAAACAATTAATTCATTTTCAGTATATAAGTAGAGCCCCACCCCCACCCCTGACCCTGGGGCCTTGAAATTCAAAACTTTGCAAGATTAGGGCCCTTGCTCATCATAACTATTTAGGTAGTTCATCTGCTTCATACCCAGAGACAGAAAAGAAAATTTTCAAAGATTTAATGTATATTCACTATATAATCAATAGAGCCCCCTCCCCCCCCAGAACCCCTGACCCTGGGACCATAAAATTCACAATTTTGGTAGAGGCACTCTTGCTCATCATAACTATGTACTTAGTTAGTTTATTTAATACCTAGGAGCAGAGAAGAAGATTTCAAAAAAATCATGTATTTTTACTATATAATCAATACAGCCCCGCCCTAACACCAGAACCCCTGACCCTGGGACCATAAAATCCCCATTTTTTGTAGAGGCACTCTTGCTCATCTTAACTATGCACTTTGTTAGTTTATTTAATATCTAGGAGCAGAGAAGAAGATTTTCAAAGAATTCATGTATTTTTACAATATAATCTATAGAGCCCCCCCCCCCCCCAAACACCAGAAGCCTTGACCCAGGGACCATAAAATTATTCACAATTTTTGTAGAGGCACTCTTGCTCATCATAACTATGCACTTAGTTAGTTTATTTAATACCTGGGAGCATAGAAGAAGATTTTCAAAGAATTCGTGTATTTTCACTATATAATCAATAGAGCCCCCCCCCCCCCCTAACACCAGAACTCTTGGCCCTGGGGCCATAAAATTCACAATTTTGGTAGAGGCACTCATGCTAATCATAACTATGCACTTAGTTAATTTATTTATAAATATCTAGGAGCAGAGTAGAAGATTTTCAAAGAATTCATGAATTTTTACTATATAATCTATAGAGCCCCCCCCCACCAGAACCCTTGACCCTGGGGCCATAAAATTCACAATTTTGATAGAGGCACTCATGCTCATCATAACTATGCACTTAGTTAATTTATTTAATATCTAGGAGCAGAGAAGAAGATTTTCAAAGAATTCATGTATTTTTACTATATAATCTATAAAGCGCCCCCCCCCCCCCTACCAGAACCCCTGACCCTGGGACCATAAAATTCACAATTTTGTTAGAGGCACTCTTGCTCATCATAACTATGCACTTAGTTAGTTTATTTAATACCCAGGGGCAGAGAAGAAGATTTTCAAAGAAATCATGTATTTTCACTGTATATAATCAATAGAGCCCTGCCCTAACACCAGAACCCCTGACCCTGGGGCCATAAAATTCACAATTTTGGTAGAAGCACTCTTGCTCATCATAACTAACTACTTAGTTGGTTTATTTAATACCCAGGAGCAGAGAAAAAGATTTTCAAAGAAATAATGCATTATCACTACCTACTTATTTAGCCCTGCCCTAGCACTAGAACCCCTGACCCCAGGGCCATGAATTTCACAATTTTGGTAGAGGACTCAATGCTTATTACAATCATGCAAACAGTTTGACTGCTTGATGTCCAGGAGTAAAGAAGAAGATTTTTAAAGATTGCATTAATTTTAGTGGTTTTGGCCCCACCCCTCAGGCCCCAGGGGGGCAGGGATCATGAAATTCACAATTTTTGTTCCCCTTCACCCATAGATGCTTTGTGCCAAATTTGGTTGAAATTGGTTCAATGGTTGCAGAGAATTGAAGAAGCTGAAAATGTTCAAAAGTTTACGAACGACGTACGACGAACAACGACGGACGAAAACAGATAGCAATAGGTCACCTGAGTTTACTCAGGTGACCTAAAAAGCCTTTGGTGTATCCTTAAATCCTTGCTAAAAATTCTGCTCTTACCATAGTTTTTGTCTCGCCTGCGACGAATGTCGCGAAGCGAGACATAGCGACCATAGATTCTGCTCTTACCATAGTTTTTGTCTCGCCTGCGACGAATGTCGCGAAGCGAGACATAGCGACCATAGATTCCGTCGTCGTCGTCGTCGTCGTCCAACTTTTGGTTAACCCAAATGTCAAAGTTTTATAAACTGCAATAACTTTCTCAAATTTTATTCAGTCTTCTTGAAATTTGGACACAATATTCAGTATGGATAAAAATTTATATCCCAAGTATGATTTTGAAAAAAAAAATTCAAATTTTTCCGTATTTTTTCCTTAAGTTGGACTTAGTTTTTTCATGATAATTTATGGTGAAGACCTATATTCCAGCAACTATAAGTTATAGGGATATGATAATTAGTCAGTGGATACATCATGGGTAACCACAAACGTCAGTACCAGAATTAGGTCATCTTGACCTACATTTTTCTGCATGAGTGACTTTGGTTAAATTTTTGGTGGAGGTCCATATCTCAGCATCTATAACTTATAATGGCATGATGATTTGTCATTGTACAGGTTATAAGTAACCAACAACATCAGTACCAGAATTAGGTCATTTTGACCTACATTTTTCTGCATGAATGACTTTGGTTAAATTGATAATGGAGGTTCATATTTCAGCAACTATAACTTATAGTGGCATGATAGTTAGTCAGTGGATACATCATGGGTAACCACAAACGCCTGTACCAGAATTAGGTCATCTTGACCTACATTTTTCCGCATGAGTGACTTTGCATAAATTTATGGTGGAGGTCCATATCTCAGCAACTATAACTTATAGTGGCATGATAATTTGTCAGTGGATACATCATGGGTAACCACAAACGCCTGTACCAGAATTAGGTCATCTTGACCTACATTTTTCCGCATGAGTGACTTTGCATAAATTTATGGTGGAGGTCCATATCTCAGCAACTATAACTTATAGTGGCATGATAATTTGTCAGTCTACACATCATGGGTAACCAACAATATCAGTACCATAATTAGGTAATCTTCACCTACATTTTCTGCATGAATGACTTGATACATATACAGTGGATTTGATTTCAAAATGCAAGTTCAAATTATTGCGACTCATAACACGTTGCAATATTCGCAATAATAAAAACATCACAATAATTTGTGAATTTACAGGGTATATGTATATATATATAAATGCCAATATAATCGCCAAGGGATTAGATATTAAGTCAGCTGTTCCATTTCTTTATTATTGTATTTTTGAGTTATTCCTTCTGAAATGTCAATAAATGCTTCAGTTTATCAGACAATCATTTCTTACTAACCACAGCGACAGCAGGCGAGACACAGGGTTGCGGGCAACCCTTACGTACTTTTAAAAGTGCTAATTGCTTATTGTTATCATTCACAGTTTGTTTCAAAAAAAGAATGCTTTTTGCTATAAAGCAAACTTAATCACATAATATTAAAAGTATTTATAAGTTGCTTGGTGATAAACCAACCAGAAAATTGTCTGAATCATTGGAAATATCTGTAATGAGGACTATACTGATGCAACTACATGTATTGATGATTAAAGGAACTTCACTCGTTATGTACACTCTCATGTTCCAACAGCTGCAGATTTGCAGTATGTGTCTTTGATTATTGAGAAAGTAAACTCATTCAGACTATGCTGAGCTAAATAAAAAGTAATAATCACAAGAAAAAAAAGTAACTACATGATTTAATCCAGTTTTTTAAACACTGGTTATAAACACATTTTAGGAGTTAGCATTAGGTCCCTTCCTGCGACCGAATGTGGAAACAACAACTCCAAATCTTCTGTTGTACTGCATGCGTCTCTTGGCTCGTCCTGTCTTCTGCTTCTTTTTTTCTTGCTTTTCAACCTATTATTTAATCGATACAATGACACAATTATTTTTCATAAATCTTATCAAACCTATATGGCATAGAAAATATCCTTACAATAGCACAATTTTTGTGTCCATTTGACTAGGAGCAGGCAACTTCATTTCCCTTTTATTATTGCAACATACATGTAATTTAAAATCTTGTATAAATATGCACAATGCTACATGTGTATTACTGTACAGGTACTTGTCCCTTGAAAAAGATTTATTCCTGTTTATACTATGTGAAACTTATGATTTATATAACTATGATAACAAAAATTTACAAAAACTGGTTCATTCACTTCAAGGAGAAGCTGAGAGTGTTCAGATATTTACAGATGGCACTTGATAAAAGAATGGAACATGAAACCAATATGTTATCTCAATGACTCAGGCGCCATAATAAAATAAGCATACATAATTACATACACTACACAATAATATAAAATCAGATCAAAAATTTATCTAAAATTTAATGCTTAATTTAACACTAACATTTTGATTCAATAAGACCCTTACCTTTGGGGTCTGTCCCTTGACTTTTCCAGCACGAGCTAGAGAACCATGGACTTTACCTATAAAGTAGGTTAAAATGATCTATCATTAAGCAGTACTGGATTAAAAACTCTTTTAAAATCCAAATCACAAATGAGAATTTTTTTATGTATGTGTTGCTCTTCTTGTTCCAACAATAATTTTATGAATATACTATAATATTCTTGAAATGAATTTGATAATTCCACTAGAATTACGCATGTGTAGGGGGACATTTTCAACCATGTCAAAATAAAATACAAATGTCACACAATGATAATAATTTACCAAGAATGACATATTATAATAATTTACCAAGAATGACACATCATTTTGGAAAGTAAAAAATAGGAATGGATTGATGCAGGGACAATCAATAATATCCTTAATATCTCGGATGTACAACAATTTGTCAACAAACCACAATCCTTCCAACCTCCCTCTCTAAAGATATTTTAATGAGTAGTACTTTTGCTTTCTAAAGGATTTTAGATATAAAATTTTTGGAATATCCTGTAAATAAAATCCCACTTTTGGTTTTCTAACAGTCTTGATTTTTTGTGCATGTACTAGCTTAAAATTTCTTCTACTTGCTATTCTGATGAAGTCTAAACACTTTGTGTAGTGTATACAGTAAAAACGTTTCCTACAGGAAAACTTACCTCCCAACATTCTGACCTCAATGTCCAGGGTGGACAAGTCATTCAGCTTGGAGAGAAGGTACTCATCCTGCAGTGGTTTACCGGCATACAGGATAATCTGCTCCTCAACTGGGAATCCCTCACGTTCACTGATCACATTCTATAAAATCAAAACAGTGATATAAGTATAGCTTTTATGTTTCAAGTATTACATGCATTCATGAATTCATTGACACCAACTTAGGCTTTTCCCTGGAAGGTCTTTATAAATCTGTCACTTCCAGTCCAGGGCAGGCATTGCACTATTTTTTTTTCCACCAACAGAGAAATATATATGAGGGGTGAGACCACAAACCAAGGCTGTCATGGGAGCTATAATCCATTCACGAACAACCGTTTCTGTTACATAATTTAGTTTCCAATGACCACCCCAACCCTTGGCTTACAAGTGAAAGCAATGCCATGGCCTTCGTTTGCATCTTGGGGCGCAAAGACAATTTTAAGGAGGGTGGAATGCAATGGTTTGGGTCAAGGTAGCTAGAATGTTTTATTATTTAAATGATATTGTCCAACGGAAACGTTTAATGATAGAATTCGTCCCATGTATTCGTAATGTAACAAAAGAAACATGGGCGATAACTCAGTCAAACTCAGTGTATTTACTATGTACAATCCAGAGAGTTCTGAATGTAAACAAGGCAGGCAATACTGAAGCGAGAAAAATCTTTGAGAAAATTAATTGAATTTTCGTCTTCAGAATGATGATTTTTTGGGATAAAAGGCTTATACAATCTCATAAATGATTAGTTCTGAATAATTTGGAAGTTATTTTCAGCCTAACCCTTGTTGTATTCTTCAAAATTATTTCAGAGCGGATCCACTCCAATTTGCAACATTCCAAGTATATGGGACGTATTTTAACTGTGGTGAGGGCTTGTCCCGAGACACAGTTAGATTATTCTAATTAGGGTTGAGGTTGAGTTTTGGTAGCTAAGTAGTACGTTGCAGCAACCGATTTGTGATGAAGCTGTCCTGGGTTAGACTCCTGGTACAGCCATATATCTTATCAATTACAGTTACATATAAAAAGGTCAATTGATATGACCAGATAAATAAATTCGTTGGTTACCATTAAATTATTTAAAGAATATCTCGTATGAAGTTTGTCTGTTGGGCATTACTATTTATAGAAGTCACTGTACCTTAATATCAGAAACAGTTTCGTTTCCTGCTAGTTGCAGAGCATGAGTCTCACTGCCTCGTACAAACAACTGCATTGTTCCTGAAATAACACATCATAATTAAATTTAGACAGTTTTAATATCATCTGGATAGATTAAAAAAGAAAATGAGCTTACTTTTTAAATCAATTATAATAAATACTCCGTCAGTTTACTGGTCCATCTTTGATGAAGTATAAAATAAAATATATTGGGTATAAGATAGTAATTTATTGACTTGATAATTATTGCACAATAAATGGTAAAATTATCATTTATTTTCCTATTCTTACACGTGTTTTGTGCAATCACAAATGGCAGCCTAAAAAGGAAGTTCAAAGAGCGCATGCGCAGAAGTAGTTTTTGATCAACTCGTACCTGGGCAACTCGTATCCATGTCAACTCCTGCCCATGCAGTCTTAGGGCCGAACGCTAACATTGTGAAGCCACTTCGGCTCTGTTTCCCAGCAAAAAAAAAAAATCGTTTCTTTGTCTTTATTTTCGCAAAATTAAATGATGGCCATATATTGTTATCTTAGATCAAAGACATAAATAACATATTAATTATGTCTCTGCTTAGGTCTATCCCAGAATTAAACAAGCTTTGGTGATTTCTGCACTTAATATCACTAATCATTACCCTCCTCTAGTGAGCTTAAAACTGAATAAATTGTTATGCATGAATGTTGCAACTGAAATAATTTTGGATTTAGCCAAAAGCCCATCTGTTCAATGTCCATGCATCATTAAAATTATAGTTTAGTTCTATATTTTTGGTTTTTATTTTATTGCAATACACCTGAAATTATTTTTGTCTCCATTAGAAATAATTTTATACAATGTTCATGGTAAACCAGTATAATCAATGTGATTTGAAACTTATTTTCAAATTTTAATGAAGGATGAAATGTATTTCATCTTTCATTCAATTTTCAGAAGAATCATGTCTCGTATCTTTTGTGTGTATCACTTCTAAAGAAGTCTACAAACTGAGCTACTTAGGCCAATAGCCATAACTATAACAAATGAATCGATCAATTTCAATTGTATAATGTTTTTGCCATAAATAAACAAGGAGGGACGAGACTTGACTATTTCATATAGCTTCTCTGGGCTATGATCAGTAATGATACTTCAAGAAGAGGACATGCCAAGTTACTTTTTAAACCCCCTTCACCCATAGATACTGCACCACTGAAAGTATGACAGTTAAAATGTATAGAGCATCCAATGCCAGTAATCTAGCTTCTCCTTCCAAAGGACAAGCTTAGGAACAAAACATAGGGATAAATGAGGCTGGACAGTACAGAGTAACACCTAATAGGGCTAACAATAAGTGTCTGACAAAGAACAATCTTTATAGAGTCATCAGCGGATACCCATGGATAACCTTGTCTTTTAATGATGAACAAGAGGCCCACGGGCCTTATAGGTCACCTGAGTATCATAGCAACTTTCCAGCAATTGTATTTGGTTCGTGTTTTAATCCAAAAGCCATGAAATTCACAAATTTTGAAAGAGGCACCATTGCTTATCAAAGGGCAGATTTCAAAGCATTAATTTATTTTTAGTCAAAGTACCCCCTGGTACCCCTGACCCAGCAGCCCTGAAATTATCTATTTTGAAAGAGGCCCCTTTCTTCATTATAAGGCCAGCATTTTTTTTTTTTTATGTTTAGGTTTAGTTATGAACATGAGGATAAAAAAGTCACGAAGGAGAAGGAAATAAAATTTTTTTTTTGATAAATCAATTATTAACATTTGTACATTCTTTTTTTATGCTATCCTAATAGGCTCCTTACCACTGGACACATAATGCTTACAAATAGGAAAGTAGAACATTTAATTGCTTATTCCATCATCTGCCAGTTTGGGCCAGTTATATAAATTTTGTGATGTTGATCAAAATATATTTTTAAAAATCAATTCTTTAAAAGTCTTTCAATATATCTTCATTTTTTAAATATGTGTCTAAAATTATAATTCCTATCAAAAAACAGACAGGAAGTATTGGGGAGTAGGGTCAACATTTTTTCAATTAAGTGTAAAATAATTTTTCTGGCTGATACAAATGATACTACATGCCTGTATGTATTTGTATACTCTTGCCTTTTAATAGTTGAATTTTTTTTTATTTCTTCAGGTTATTGTTTATTTCTTCCTCAAATGGACTTCACTACTCCCCTAGTTTTATTCATTACATCTGATGAAAAGCAACCCTTTTCTGAAGAATGATGCTTAGACTGTAAGCTATAACAGAGACCTAAACAATGTCCCTGGCAATATGCAATAGCTACCACGGGCAGTTTAAAACCTGGGGCCAGTGGGGGAGGAAAATAATTTACAGTTACTTTTGAAACGAATACATAATTATCTCACCAGCATGTCATTGTGCAACAAAGTCGTCAGCATTTTATTTGTCCTTTGAACGGGTGAAACGTTTTGAATGGCACTCTTATCGATGAATTTTACACTAAACCAAGCTATCTTCTCAGATCTAGCTTTATTTACCCGCCGTTTCATCGTAAAACCGGAAGTGCGAGTTCGTAAATTTGAAATATCGATCCCGACTCAAATTTGACATCGGAAAGAAAATTTTTTTTTCCTTTTTTTTCCTGAAAATTCAAAACCTTGAGCGGAGGGTTTGTAAAACTGAAAATAAAATAAATCCTGGCCTTAAATATGTAATTAGATCATTAGCATATTAACCAGGAGCAAAGGATAAGATGTTCAAAGAATTCATGCATTTCACTATATAATCATTAGAGCCCCACCCTAAAACAAGAACCCCTGACCCTGGGGCCATAAAATTCACAATTTTGGTAGAGGCACTCTTGCTTATTATAACTATGTACTTAGTTAGTTTATTTAATACCCAGGAGCAGAGAAGAAGATTTTCAAAGAATTCCTGTATTTTCACTATATAATCAATAGAGCCCCGACCCTAACACCAGAACCCCCCTGACCCTGGGGCCATAAAATTCACAATTTTGGTAGAGGCACTCTTGCTCATCATAACTATGTACTTAGTTGGTTTATTTAATACCCAGGAGCAGAGAAGAAGATTTTCAAAGAAATAATGCATTTTCACTACCTACTTATTTAGCCCTGCCCTAGCACTAGAACCCCTGACCCCAGGGCCATGAATTTCACAATTTTGGTAGAGGACTCAATGCTGATTACAATCATGCAAACAGTTTGACTGCTTGATGTCCAGGAGTAAAGAAGAAGATTTTTAAAGATTGCATTAATTTTAGTGGTTTTGGCCCCACCCCTCAGGCCCCAGGGGGTCAGGGATCATGAAATTCACAATTTTTGTTTCCCTTCACCCATAGATGCTTTGTGCCAAATTTGGTTGAAATTGGTTCAGTGGTTGCAGAGAAGAAGCTGAAAATGTTCAAATGTTAACACACGACGCACGACGACGGACGAAAACAGATAGCAATAGGTCACCTGAGTTTACTCAGGTGACCTAATATAAGAGGCCCACGGGCCTTATAGGTCACCTGAGTATTGTGTAACAACTTTCAAACAATTAAATTTGGTTCGTGTTTAAACCGGTGGCCATGAAATTCACAATTTACAATTTTGAAAGAGGCACCATTGCTTATCATAATTATTAACTTAGAATGCTTACTCTATTTACTTAATTCCCAGAGGTAGATCAGAGTAACAAAGAGAAAATGCACTTCCACTTTATAACCAGTTGTGCACCTCACCCCAAAGGAACCACTGACCCAGGCCATATATTTCAAAATTTTGCAAATTTTATCATAAAATGGTTGATTAATACCAAACCGCAGTTTTAAAAGCATTAATTTTTTTTCAGGCTATGTAACCCCCCCCCCCCCCCCCCCCCCCTTTGACCCTGGGGGCATTAAAAACCACTTTGCTACATGCACCTTTCTTCATCATAAATATATATATACTTGGATCATTGGCTTTAAACCCAGAAGCAAAGAAAAATATTTACAAAGAATAAATGTATTTTTACTATATAATCAATAGAGCCTCAACTTAACACCAGAACCCCTGACCCTGGGGCCATAAAATTCAAAATTTTGGAAGAGGCACTCTTGCTCATCATAACTATGTGCTTAGTTAGTTAATCTAATACCCAGGAGCAGAGAAGAAGATTTTCAAAGAAATAATGCATTTTCACTATATAATCTATAGAGCCCCGCCCTAACACCAGAACCCCTGACCCTGGGGCCATAAAATTCAAAATTTTGGAAGAGGCACTCTTGCTCATCATAACTATGTGCTTATTTAGTGTATTTAATACCCAGGAGCAGAGAAGAAGATTTTCAAAGAAATAATGCATTTTCACTGTATTATCTATAGAGCCCCGCCCTAACACCAGAACCCCTGACCCTGGGGCCATAAAATTCACAATTTTGGAAGAGGCACTCTTGCTCATCATAACTATGTGCTTAGTTAGTTTATCTAATACCCAGGAGCATAGAAGAAGATTTTCAAAGAAATAATGCATTTTCACTATATAATCTATAGAGCCCCGCCCTAACACCAGAACCCCTGACCCTGGGGCCATAAAATTCACAATTTTGGAAGAGGCACTCTTGCTCATCATAACTATGTGCTTAATTAGTGTATTTAATACCAAGGAGCAGAGAAGAAGATTTTCAAAGAAATACTGCATTTTCACTATATTATCTATAGAGCCCTGCCCTAACACCAGAACCCCTGACCCTGGGGCCATAAAATTCACAATTTTGGAAGAGGCACTCTTGCTCATCATAACTATGTGCTTAGTTTGTGTATTTAATACCCAGGAGCAGAGAAGAAGATTTTCAAAGAAATAATGCATTTTCACTATATAATCTATAGAGCCCCGCCCTAGCACTAGAACCCCTGACCCTGGGGCCATGAATTTCACAATTTTGGTAGAGGACTTAATGCTCATTACATTCATGCCAACAGTTTGCCTGCTTGATGTCCAGGAGTAAAGAAGAAGATTTTTAAAGATTTCATTAATTTTAGTGGTTTTGGCCCCACCCCTCAGGCCCCAGGGTGGCGGGGACCATGAAATTCACAATTTTTGTTCCCCTCCACCCATAGATGCTATATACCAAATTTGGTTGAAATTGGTTCAGTTGTTTCAGAGAAGAAGCTGAAAATGTCCAAATGAGTTACTCAGGTGACCTAAAAAACCAGATCATCCGTGGGTATCTGACAATGTTCAGAGCGTTCTTTGTCTGAAATTTAATTTGAGCTCATTTTGTTCTTTGTCTTCTCTTAAAGAAAATACATGTAAATCTTGAAAAATTTACATTCCTAATCTTCTCATGTAGAAAATAAAATGCACTGCTTTTGTAATGTTAAATTTTTATTGACAAGTGTCATTTGATCGCAGTAAAACAAAAAAATGTATCTTTTTGATCCAGTGCTCAGCACATGAACAAATTCGCAAATGAGGAGGAGAGGATGGCAAAAACTAACCTCTGAACCAGCGAGGGCATATAGCATTGAATCATTTATACCAAATTCTTCTTTACAACTGACAAGCAAAATTTTTACACATACCAGAGCAATCTAACAGGCATAACTTCTTACAAATGAATTTTAATTTTTTTTTTTCCAATAGAAACAATGTAATAATTTTCACAATAATAAGTAATATATGACCCTGTTTTAAAATGAGTACCAAAACACAATGCCAATATTGTACACATTGCTTTTTTGTTACATTTTTTAAAACATTAGATATACAAATAATTTCTTTTTACCCTTTTTTCCTGACTACATTTTAGCACATGTAGGAAAGGAAAATTGACAATCTAAATAACACTCCTGCTGTTTACAAAAAAGGTCAATGTTATCTTCAAAAACGTTAAAAGGGAGGAAAGTCTGTCTGAGCACAGCTGTAAAGTACACATGAAACAAAAACCAAAAAAAAAAATTTAAAAATACAACCTGACATTATTGAACTGGTGGAATATCAACACCAATTGCTAAAGAAGAGCAACCTTTCATCTATTACTGCTTAATGAATGATGAACATTTTAAAATGTTACATTTATTATTTTCATAAAACTTACATGTAATGACATCTTTCCTGCCAAAAACAGAAAAGCACAGCATATTCTTTATTTATTACAGTTCGAGTTGAAACTGTGAAAAAAAAAACTCAGAGATGACTCTTGGATGTAAAATAAAAATTTTTACAAACAAAAGTACATGGTTCAGTGTATTATCAGTGTTTGTAATTTAGCAAATTGAAGACACCTGTCATTGCTTGGATTGAAATGGAGACCACAAGGAAATTTTTATACAAATATCCTACAAACCTGCTGGAATAATTTACATTTACACAAAAACAATTTACAATCATAAAAGCCTGGATGTATTGACATGGGGAGATAACCCATCATTCATGTACATCTATTTCTCCATTGATAATACTATGAAAATTGACTATGAAAAAGCATAGCTTTCAGTTCGGTATACATCACACCACATCATTCAGACATGCTCAAAATGGAGATGCAATCAAACACATTCTAAAAATAAACAAGCTGATCAACAACTACACAAAATGTGACAAAAAAATGAACAAAAAAATGTGCTTCTTCTATCCTTCATTTTCTTCTTTTGGTCGTCGATATGGTCCACACTAGAACAACACAACAGCTCTGATCGGGCGATGTTGTGTTGTTTTTTTTTGGTCTTACTTTCCGTTTCTGATGGATAAATAGTCTGGGACCTTGAACTGCCGGCGTATATAGAACAAGATGTACGCCTTACATTTGGCCACAGTTTCCGGTTCACAAGGAGTCACAGTACTGTCATTAAAATGGAACCACTGTCCTGGAACACAAAGAAAGGGTCACATAAAGTAAATGTGTCTGAAGTAAACACACTGAAGAATAAAACATAAGTTAAACTAAATGATATTCTGTGTATAGTAGTACAAAATGTTTAAACTTTAATACAATTGAAAATTTATAATTACTGATTATTGATATAATGAACTGATCATGAATTTCCTTTATTCACTTCATAATGCTTTCCAATAATTGTTATTACATTAAAATTCATATCTGACACACATTCATACGTTTGTAAATATACTACCGGTATGTAATTCGTAACATTTTTTAAGATTGTAGACCAATAATTTCTTGTCAAAAATTGCCTGTTTTGAAATTCATTTTTTTTTGCAATGTACATCTACATGTACATGTAAATATCTCTTTAAATTCTTCATTTGATTTGAACGTTTTATTAAGTAATTATACATAAAAACGGATTGGGCAGCAGGCATAGCCGGTATGACTCCTCTCCACAAAATCCTTACCTTCATGCCTAGCATATGATGTATAGTGACCTGATCCTGCCCTGAAAATTCAAACAAACAGAAATTTAAAACTACTCACTTTGTTAAATCATAAAATAAAAACAAATAAACATATTCAAAATTACCAATTACTACATCAGTGGAGATATACAGTAAATATTATTTTGAAACAAGATCTGCTAAACACTAGTGTCCCAACAAAGACCTTTTCTATTAATAAACAGACCCTGTCTCAACAGACAAGATTGTTCGACAGACAGCGAAAAGGAGAGACCAGAATATAGACAAAATAGTGACTGCTAAATATTATACATCTCATATACATCTGTCAAATATTAAGTCTACTTTGAAGGGTTCAAAAGTTACCTGGAAGTTTAAAATTATGAATGACAGATCATCTGACAGAACAAAAACAATATACCCCTTGATCTTTAATTTCTGGGTAGAAAAGTTTCCTTTCATTTCTTTATACAGAAATAATGTGAATTTGGCGTGGAAAGACACAATCCTATCTCTTAATACATCCACATAAACTTTAAAATTGTCAAAAGCTTTCCATATTTTAAAAGACATATATGCTGATGTCTAATTGCAATAAATACTGCATATTAAATCCCTATTAACCACCCCAGGTGCTTAGAAAATTATGAAAAGGGGGCGGCTATTTTAATATTCTCTTTATGATATTTAATGTCATATTTTAAGTTAAAAAAATCTTTTGAAAAAAAAAATAAATTCAAAGAACCACTATAATAATGTTTAACTTTACTTTAAGTGAAGATAATCTGAACAAATTATGCTAAATGATTTATTTTCCATCGAGAAATTTGATAATAGACAATTTTCATTTTCACTTTTTTCAAATTTTGACAGACTTTTGAAATGATTCTAGATGATTTTAATCACTGTACAGGGGCCCTTTTTACAATTGAACACAGAAATGCACTTAATAGGGATTATATGGTATTGCACTTTTAAGATTTTTAATTTGAATACAGAGAGTCAAACTTGCCATAAAGACATAATTTCTAGATAAAAGGAACATAAACAGTCTGTGACCTTGACACTTACCCTGACCCATGATGGACCACAACAGCCGCAAGGTCATACTCATTACTTCCTCCACAACTTCCCCGAGTCTCATGCTATGAAATACACAATATGGTTCATCAAAATCATCTTTTTAATAAAAATTTGTGTAGGCAATTTACTTTAAAAATTCACATACCATGTTATCTAGAATATACTTGTGCATGTTCAAGCCTTCCAATGGAAACTCTACAAATGTCTCCAATTTCACCCTGAAGAAAGACTGCCATCGGAAACGTTTTATATGTAAACAGAGAACCTGCAACAAATAAAGGCAACTTGTAAAAAAAGAATGCATTTACATACTTCATCAATTTTATAAATGAAATATCCTGTTAACTTTTCTATTGTCATAGTTAAAGGCATTAATTTAAAACCAACACATTATGATTCAATCTATTCACAATTTGACATCCTGATAGTACTGCTGAATAATTTAATTCCAATTGTAACATGTTAATTGATTGACTGAAAATTTGGTTTATTAATATTGTAAGACATGTATTGCCTGTGTCAAAATATGACTGATGTCAAAAAAGTATAAATCTGCTTCACAAGGACATCTTTAAAATATTGTTTGGTTTTCCTCTCCTGACCGACAGTCAGACTAAAAATGGCACGACTCAAAATTTATTTTAAAGATGGCCCAATGTATTTTTTTTCTTCACAAAAGTTGGGTCTTTTTTTTTTTGGGGGGGGGGGGTGATTGTTTTATTTTTTATATTATATGCAAGAATATAATATTTTAAGGAATAAATTGAATAGCTACCATAGTTATACTTGTATAGTCTGGGTTGGGACAGATAACATTTTTTATACACTGCTTCAAAGTTTATAAAACTTACACTGGCCCCCTACCCAGTTTATACAGTATAACTTGATTAGATATTACACTCATACCTTAAATACATACATCATTGTAAAAAAAATATTTGGAATCAAGTTATGTGTCTGATGCATGGTGAACTCACCCTACATGAAGGTGGAACAAAAATATCATAGGTACGTTCAGTCACTTTTCTTACATTTAAACAAAAATATCATAAGTACATTCTCTATTCTTACATTTGGCAATCTCCTGATCCAGAATTTTTTGGTGGAGCGCTGTTTTTTCTTACAGTTGCTACACATATAGAGCTCAGATTCTTCAAGTTCCTCAAGGTCAGTAAAACTTTGTAAACAATCTGAAAGTATGTCACATACTGCAATCCCAGGTTTATCCTAAAATTACTCAATTTTAAAAATTATCATATATGAATGTATGAAGAAGGTTAAGAAATAAATCTGTAATTAGGTTAAACTCTGTCATGTATGCAACTTTACTCATTTCCAAACCGATACTTCATTGCAATTTTTTCCTTCTTTTTCTTTTTTTTTTTTTTTTCCTACCTTTGTTTAATTAATCAACATTGTACCTAAAATAATGTGTATTTACCTTGACCTTTAGGGAGAGGACTGAAAACAGGCTAGGTCTGCTGCCCAGTCTCATTCACTCTTTATAAATGAAATTATGCATAAATTATCTATATCAGTTTTATACATGTTTGGTGTGACAAATCACCTGAGAGGGTACACCTTGGCTGCTCTACTCCGTCCTTGGCTTTCACACTCCTGTGACAAAACTGTTGTGGTATATCAAGTGATAAATCTGCTCATATTAAAAAATAAGTACTTAAATACATGTATATTAATCAATTAATTTATTAAATATTGACATCTGTAAGAATGTTGATAAAACAATGAATACATTTAGCATGGTGTATATGTCAAGTTTGAACTAACCAAAAAGGTTAGCTCATAATGTCTATAAGTAATAAATATACCTAAAGTGGAAAACTGCTACACAGAGAAAATATTTACATGTACATCAACACTGAAAATTTCACACACCTAGAAACGGATCGTGTTTTTTAGACTCCACCCCACATTCAAGACACTTGACTTCGTTTTGGAGGAGGCCTCCAAAAATAGCCGTGACTATGGTGCTCTTGCCCTTGGGTCCAATAAATGGACTGTCACTGTTGGGGTAGGGTAGGAGAGTCAGCAGTTCCGTGTGAAGGCGGTCAAGGAGATATCGCATGAATTCATGGGCATCTTGCTGTTGGTATCCCCTATAATACAGAAAGGCTTTTCTCAAAAATTTTGTCAATATTAAAAGTTAACAAATACATGTATCTACGTTCATACTTTTTTTTTAAAGAGATGAACCTACTAAAGAACAACTTTCACAAGAATCGAAAGGTCATGAAGGGGTTTAGGTCATGCTTGACACAACAAATTACAGTAGTAATGGTTTTTTTTTTGTGTGTTGTGTCCAAAAGTTTTCAGGAAAATGAACTTAATTGGTATAACCATCAAATCTACTGTCAGAAAAGCTTTTGTGGTTTCACAGGATTTGATAGCAAAACCAACAAAGTTTGTTTCATACAAAACTTTTCAACATTGTTATTAATTTCTTACATTCTTTGACAGATAAATTTATGTTATTTAGCCTGTATTGAAATATCTGATATGGTAAAGGTTAAAGTCCTTTCTCACAAACTTGTTGAGGCACACATACTTTTTCTTTTTTTTTTTCCTCAAGAAAAAGAAACCTTTTAGATACCTACATGTTAAAATTTTCAAATATTAATTCAATGACGTTTTTTTTAATTGTTTACAAACCTGAACCTGGGGACAACCTTCCAAATTACAGCAAACAAGGATTCGGGAGAAATGGCACCCTTTGAGCCTTGCCATAAAGCACACAAGGTTTTCCTCAGTTCTTCAACCAATAAACTACAACATAATGTTGAATGGCATAAACTAATGTATTATTGTGTGAATTTAAACTGAACTACATTCTACGGGTTATGCAAGGTGGTTTAAAAAACAACAAATCTTTATACAGGTATTAATAATCTTTTTTTGTACACAATTACAATGCTCTCATCAACATCTTATCATAAGAAGTTTGGAAATTGAAAGAAAATGTCTCTGCCAGTTTCTTTGAAATTGAGCTTAACAAACAAACAAACAATAGGAAAGTAACATCAATCATCAATGTCAATTGGAATGTCAAGGCGAAAAGTTTTTGATAAACTACAATTACTCTTGCACCAATTTGTACCAGGGAATGAAGCCTGATATAAGTATTTCTAACAGATTCTCTGAAACTGAGCTGTTCACTTAGTGGAGAAACAAACAGATAGGACAGGAAGATGGATATGATAAATCACTATAAAGCCAAATCCATGGTGGGGAATAAAAAGGTTAAAATAAAAAAAAGATTTTTTATTAAATCCTCACATATCCTCCTCTGTTGTTTTTGAATTTCTTGTCTGGACTTTCTTGACTTTTGTTGCTTTTTCTTCTAAGGATGGCAGTTGCTTGATATAGCCACAAAACTGTTGAATGTTGCTAAAAAATGAATAAATCCTCCATAAATTTTAAATTAATAAAAATTTTTGTCTCATTTTTTTCTCTACAGATTGCAAGGTTCTCTTTCATAACATACTAAATGTACCTTAGAGACTGTAATACTGCATTCATAAAACATGTGTTTCCCAGATTCCTTAGTCCTGAAGACCTTGGTTTTCTTAACTGGACATCCTGTATAAAAGATATTAAGATTTCATTATTTTTCCACTAAATATTACTTCATAGTTTTTTTTTCTTCTTAAATAGTAGGAGATGAACTTAAGTCTATCGAACACCATGGATATGTCAAATTGATTTTGCAGTCCTAAATGCTTATTCTTCGATTATTTTACCCTGGATATTTGAATCCTTAGATATCTCAGGGTTTTTTCTTGATCCCACAGAGTTTATGAAAGAGGTTTAATATGACTGTACAATATTTTTTTACAGCAGTCTGGAAATATATATTCCTCAATATTGTGGAAAATGACTCAAGGAACATGATTTTGCATACATCTTTTTTGCATGTAACTTGGACTTATTACTTTGTTCCATAAAAATGTTTTTAAAGCCTCTGCTGAAAGTAAATAAACATCTGAAATTCTGTTCCTATATGTGTGTGTTTACTTTTTCTCACCTTTTTCATCTTTTTTGTTGACCTTTCATTTTCCTGAGAGTCAGTTGAACATCTTCTTCTTGGCTTTTGTCTCATATATGCCTGTGCACTGTATAATCAATATTAAGATATGAACATAAACCCAGTGAATGCACTATTGAGATATGCTATTGCAACAGCAGTAAAAATAAACCACACACATGCATAGATTAACTAATGCAAGTTAATAATTACAGAAAATATGCCCAAATTAATTTATTTCTAGAGCTTCAACAGGATATAACAACATTGCCAAAAACAGAAGATTTTCTGATGATCACAAGAACAGCTGACCAAAAACTCATTAGCATTTTTCACTTAAAACTGGTAATACCAAAGATATAGAGCGTCATTAAATAGACACAGGATTTCACAGTGTCATTAAATAGATGCCGGATTTCGCAGCGTCATTAAATAGACGTAGAATTTTGTCCTGTATACCTGGTGATGGACTGCAGCTGTTTGCGGAGCTTCTCAAGGTGGCCTGGTGTGGTATCATTGATAACAAACTCGTCACACTTATAACTGCAAAAATACATTTAAAACAAATAAACCTCAAATATATAATAACTTCACTGCAAATGGACTATGGGTGAAATAAATGTCACTTTTAAATACTATAAACGAAATGTAAATGGTGTTTTTTTTTCAGTTCATGCATTTTCATCATGTACATACATTTTATCACTGCAAAAATATGTTTATCTCACTTCAAAAACAAACAAGCCTAAACTGTATTTATTCTTCACTAAAAAGTACTAGGGATGAAAAAAAGTCTCTTTTTAATAGTAATGACATGTAAATTCATCATTTTTCAGGTCATGTATTTTCATCATGTGCAAATTATTCAAATCATATACATATTATTCAACTTCCTTCCAGTTTCCCTAGGAAGGACATCAACCCTAGAAGATTGTGATAAATTACCAAAAAACGGCAAAGTTGTCGCAGTCCATACACACTGCATGGTTTGTTGATTCTTCATGGTGGAGCTTGGCATGTCCATTTACATATCTGTGGTTAGACGACAAGGAGTTACACAGAATGGAGAAACAAAATTACACAACAAATGCAAGGAAATCCATATATTACATTATACATCAAAATTTCATTGATAAATACAATCATCATTTAAAATGAAATAATACTCAAAATTTCCTTTGCAAATACAATTTGCTTATCAGCATTCACAAAATTTAAAACATACCTTAATGTACCAATACAAAGTTAAAATTTACATCATTCATACATATAATATATATGCTTTGCATTGTAATGGTAAGTTTCCAATATTTTATATTCTATGAATATTTGCACAATGTCATTCTTTTTTAAATACTACCCATTATAATGCAAAGAGCTAAATGAAATTTATTGATTCGTTCAAGATATTTCTGTCTTGCCACTGTAAATTATATTGAGCATGATGTAATAAATTTACTAGCCAAAAAAATTCATAATGAGAACAGTGAAAAAAAGAACCCCAAAGGGGGTCCATGTAGAAAAAAAATTCATACCTCCCACAGTGGATACGCCCACACTTCAGGCAAATCCATGGACTCTGTTCTGTTTTACAAACTGAAAAAAAATCCAAGATTGAAATGGAGTTCTAACAAATGCCACAGCACTTTACACATGTTCATTCAATGTGTGTGTTGAATAGACCAAGCCTTGCTTTGTTCATCATGGTATTCAATTTCCCCCCATGACAAAGCCCCATCTCATGCAGGTGCAGAGACAGCATTCCATGTTCAGAATTAGGCTAGACCGGGCTGAAGTAAACCAGATTCACTGTCAGTCAAGTGACTGGTCAAATACTTTACCAGCAGGTCAGACCAGACATGCAGCCCAGTGATTTCTTTAATATTATAGCGAAAAGCTAGCTTCAACAGTGAATCAATATTTATTAGGAGGAGATTTTGTGTTATTATTCATTGACTGATTCACACACTAAATAAATTCTGTGATCAACCCTTTTTTTTAAATTTTAATAATAAAACTTATTTTTTTTTTTCATTCAAATACTGCAGTGAGTGTACATCTCATATTTTCAACAATCTACAAATATAAACCTTTTGTATACATATAATAATTAATTTCCAAAATTAGTTGATCAAATTTTTTTTAACCACAGCACAGTCAAAGATAGACTGGAAAATTTGCATAGCTTCTGTATGTAATGATTATCCATACATTACAAATAATATTATACAATATAATTTCAGGTATATAATGACTGATCTAGTTGCAGTGTAAAAGCCAAGTGTTGACCTGTTAAATCTACGATATAAGATATTTAAGTCTAATTTTACATAATCAATTAAATATCGCTTTTTCGTACATAAAGCATTCAATGAAAAGTACTGTTCTCAATAAGTACAAGAGGAACTTTGAGAATTAAATTAATACTTTAATACTTAAATAGTCACGATAATGAATAATTTTTCAGATCTTTCTTGTTCTAATTGAGATAAGTTTGGATGGGGAAATAGACATTTTAAATGGGGTTGCAAATGTTTTTTTACTGGGGTAAAAAAATTATAGGGACCAACTTTACAACTTTTACCAGCCCATATTGATTTTTGTCCACTTAGTAACAAATTTTCTTGACCTTTCAGAAAATTACATTATTTCTGAAAGACACACTTTGTTGTCCGTTCTTTCAATTTCCAGAGGATTAAGAAACACCTATTATGTTCACATAATTTCGAATGTAGAACAAAATCCATGCACCTTCATAAAAGAACTGAATGCTATATAAATGTTCTTAAAATTTATACCTTTTTAAAAAAAGGAGGGGGGGTCTTTTCAGATTGTAAAATAACCATTATGGGATTGTACATAGGGATATGGATCCTTTCAAAACTCCTGAGATGAATTTCATATAGCATGTTTAGATTTATAGGAGTCACTAGTGTCAATTTCATATGTCATACCATGCAATCATAAAATAGGGCCTTGAAGAGTTGCAAAGCATGCTATTCCACCTTTGACAACACTATGCTCTCCTTTCAATTCATACAATTTGTTTAAGTCCATTATTTGCACACTGTGTTGACGACAGATTTTTTTCGTTGTTTCTTGATCGTCAGCAGGGGATGCTCACTCCTCCATAGCATCTGATCCCACCTCTGGTGTTTTGGAGGTCAGTGTTTGCCCTGCTCCTTTTTTGTATTGTTTTATGGATTTTTGAGCTTGAATACTGTTCGTTATCTCCATATATTTCATTCATTCATATAAAATGCTTATGCATTCCAAATCCAGAATACGTTAGAGACTTAAAAGCATATTGTTTGCAAAAGACATTTTACATCATCGCACTGATCATAAATTATTATTATACCAATTTCGGTATTTTTTTTTTCAACTCTCTTTTGTTAGTTCATATCAAAGGTTACAGACTATAGATAAGAGTTATCGACCTTACTTTTGATAGACACACTTCAATACCCTTTATCTGAATGATTTTTATGAATACATAGAGAATTCACCTGTTCCTCAAAGTTGCATGAAATACTCACCACCACAAAGAAAACGTGAAGGTAGATTCTCACTCTTTAGATTCGGGGTCGTTATACAGGCATTGTCTTCTAAATGAGGGCACTCCATGAAACACTAAATTCGGAAAATTAATCACCTTCTTCGAAAACCATATAAAGTTTTTCTTTAATAAAACTGTAAGATCTGGAAAAATAATGCAGTAAACAAGAGGAAAATTGACAAAATATTTTGAATTTCGTAGTGTTCAAACACGTAACAGACACTCAAAGAGTGCGAACATAATGCCCATTCAGGTTCTTCAAAGAAATTCACCAAAATCTTCTGAAAATTAATGTCATGCAATTAGGAATAGCTATAAAAAATGAAAGATTATTCCTGAGGTCTTCAAATTACTTACGATGTATTTTGAATCGCAAAAACACCCAAAATAGAAAATATTAGCAGACCTAAATTATCATGGCGGACTGATACGGCGTAATGCGCCGTATTTCCGGAGGTCAATGGGCACGCGGTAAATGTAGTTCTGTGAATCCCTAACCATGCCAATAACAGGGACGAATTCCCCCAATATTATTCTTTCCCCCTCTTTAGATGCTTTCAAAATTCACCATATTTCTTATACCATCTGAAATCATGTTATACATTCATGGCTAAATTAAAACCACATATGGTGTATTTTTGATGAGTTAGATAAATAAAACTAAAAAGATCTTTCTATCTATTTTATTTGTTTATATAGGCCAACAAAAACAAGACTTTTCTGTAGATTACATAATTTACAACAATCGTGTTTTAAACATATCAAATATTAAATAAAAAATTAAAACAATATATTTACTGACGCCACATTTAAATGACAGACAAATGTTTAAAGTCAATTTAACTTTATTAAAGTTTGAAAATCAGTGAAAATTTTAATTTGAACGTAATAACATAATTATATTGTATATCTACACTCAGTCTCGTATTTATATTTTTTAAGCACATATATAGCTTTTAATGCATATGAAGAAGTTAGCTAATGTGCATTTTTTTGTGCTCAAGCGTTGGCAGAGGTATATGTGGCAGCTCGAGCAGCGGGATCGATGATTGAAATTGTGTTGAAGATCTCTGGATAAAAATTTCATGAAAATTGAATTGTTCTTTATAGATAATATTACACACAGGCACATGGGGTTAATATTTTTTTCTTTAAATTTAATAAGTATACACCTACCTAATAATACACACGTGTTATTTGGTAGGGGTACACAAGGCCGTAACAGTACTACCATTTAGAGTTCTCTGAAAAGTGAAAAAAGTTTTACATTGAACTTATGAATTGTGTGTGTCTTCGTGCTAAATTAATATTTTTAAATTTTGATTTTTTAAATCGTTCATAATAATTTCAAAAGAAAAATATAGTTTGTTTTGTAAATTATTTTATTGTTTAACATCCCTTCTGGTTTCCTGTGACTTTACAATAAACATGAGCTTTCGAAATGATTGAGATGATCTTTTTTGTGCCATCACTTACTGTGACATGGGATTTCGGTTTTTACGGTCGCATCCGAAGGACCTGTCTATACACCCCGCAGTTGGATTCGAGCCCGCGATGATAGGATCAACTCATTAGTGTGAGACTCAAGAGCATATGCTCTAAGCATTTGCCATGCAGCGACAATTCAAAACATAAAAACTTTCTAAGATTAAATCTTTTATTTTCTAATACCCAGGTTCAGGATCCCCCCTCCCCTGGAAACCCCCATCACTGGCTATCAGGTACTACCCTTGTCCCGTCTGAGACTAGGAATGCCCAATAAAAATTTGTTAAAACTTTTGAATGAAAATTCCTTTTTAGTCATGGCTGTCATGTATAATACATGTAATGTTAAAACTTTTGAATGACATGTGCTTTACTTTCGAAGTTCTTACGATCTAGTTTATTTCATGAAGTCTCCAATTACCGACAGAAGTTTAATTTCGAACCAAAAATCTGCGGCATTTTTACTGAGTGACTTGCTTTAATAAAATTAAAGTATTTTAATAAAATTAAAGTATTTAGTGCTTTAAAATTAAAGTATTTAGTATATATATTAAGGATCCAAACAAACTTACATTAGATTTGACCCGATTCAAATTGATTACTAAAAAAGACCTAATTCTGAAGCAGTTGGAGCTGATCAAAAATCTAATTTTATTTAGACTGATAATCAATTTAATTTAGAGTATAATTTATTTCTGATGAAAAGGTTTTGTTGACAGTCAAAAATCGAAGTGATATTCATCATCCCAATTTATTGAAAATTTTACAAAGCGTATGCATGATCTCTTGGAATATTTTTGTTTCTTACCCATTTTCAATTTCTAAAAAATATAAAACGAGAAGAAGAGAACTTTTGTCCACCTCCGTAAGCGATACTGATAAAAAACTTAACACATTAATTATCCAACTATCAACATTTTTATGAGTTATGGCAAATAAAGACACACTATATAATAATTCATTTATTGATTATTTATCAAAATCTTTCATGGTTGATCTTGAGGTCAAGATCATTCATATTTTCATATGTGAAACCGACATTTTGATAATTCTATTCTCCATGCAATGTCCATGAAATCAATTATAACATGATCAAGAACATTATCTATATGTTATCATAGATGTAAGTTTCTTGGACTATAATTCAGCTGCGTATATATGTATATGTTTATTTTCGCTTCATCATCATCCTCACAGCTTTGACTTGCGTGCCGTCCTCAAACACGGGACTCCAGGGGTGGGTCCACTCGGTGGTGCCGTAGGGACCGGTCAGGAGGGCCCTGTGACAACTATTGTACCACCACCCCGCCCCACCCGACAATGCGGCACAATTAATGTCGGCATTTCTATCCTGGTCCCTATCTACCGTGCTGAATTCCTTTGAGTGGAGCTGAGTAGCAGAGGATCCGTACATGAATGCATTGCCTGTGTGGAAAAAGAATATTTTATATTCAAACTATAAGAGTTGCCTAGATAGATCATTGAAATTGTTTCAATCTGAACCAAATACACATATTAGTGCATAAATCAAAGTTCTCATCACAGACACTTGTTTCGGTAATACATGCTTAACCCATAGTATATAATTTATTACCGAAACAAGTGTCTGTGGTTTTCATGGCATAATAGACTGCTAATTATATACATTAAAATGTTTTTGCTTTAAGTTCAGTTCAAATGAAAATTATAAGAGATGCTTTTATTCCTATTTTTCTTTTTGGCATAGATTCACATCTATTGGAACATTATTATGTTGTAAATTTTCAATTTCCTGGGGGGGGGGGGTTAAATGCAAAAGTTAATTTTGCATTTTAATACCTAGCCCTAGTAAATTCAAAATTTACAACATTAAAGCATTAGGAAAAGAGACATGTGCGCAAGATGTTGATTAAAAAAAACTATCATACTAAGTACTAAGTATATAGAAAAGTATTGGATAAAGATAAATGATTTGGCAACAAATGGCGATTTAGTATACAATAAGGAAAAATACAAAGGAACAAGAGCATCCCAAATCTACTCTTGATTTAATATTTAACCAACGCCCTTCACGAAAAGACAAATTGTAACTTAACAATGACTATTCCAACAAACCTTCCCATTTTTCCTGATATGTATCATTTGATTCATTTTAAAAATATATAGTAAATGTCATTTATGAATTGTGTGTTACCCATAGTTCCCGACTGTTCCCCAAAGTACAATTTATATCCAGTTGCTTCGCTGGCCACATAAAAGTGACCATATGTCTGGTAGAAGACAGATCCATTGATATGCGTTATCATGACGTATAAGCGTGACGCGGACAAGTTGTGCATCATCTCGTTACCTGAAATTAAATAATACCGACATGTTTGATAGTATAAATACTTATTAGTATAACACACGTTATTCCACAATTTGATTTGACTATACAGATTGCATTTGCAAACAACGTCATTATATTCATCATTGCACTATTTCGAAATGTTGACTTCAGTTTAGTTGCTCTTGTGTCTTCAACTAATTTGTCAATAGTCTGTTTCGATTCAGAAATTGTTTGTGAGAACACAATTCTCTTGTGTATAGAATCGACTGGGTATTTTACCACTTTCTTTCGTCGTTTTTTTTAATCAGTCAAACTCTAAACCTCGAAATAACGATCTAAATGCCAAAACAATTACCATAAATTAATAATATTAATTAATAATAATTAATATTTATTAATAGATAATATAAAGTTAAAGGAGTTAACTTTTATATCTCACCAATCCAATACTCTGTGGAGGCGTTCCCAAACCCGTACTTATAATCGTCCCAGTTTCTGGAGAAATTTACAGATCCGTCTTCACGTTTCAATATTACCTGTAATTGTGTGACATAATAATTATTATTATTACATTTTACCAAAAATTTGCAAATCTATTCATCTATTGAACAATATAAAAAACTATCTGGATTGGGAAAGTATAAAGATTTATTGCTTTATTAATTATAATGAGGATTTTCTTTCAAATAATTTCAATTGTAAGGTTATATTCATGTATATATTATTGATGACATGTTCATCAGTTTCCTCAAAATAAAACAAAAATATTTTTTTCCCTGTTTGTGTATATGATTGCGTGCTTAATTTTGAGGTCTTTTATGGAAAATGATTTTTTTCCTCCAGATAAAAGAAACAAGTACTTACTGTCCAGCCTCCCCCTTCTGTCTCCATATCACAATAAACCTGGCGAGCCTCGCCGTCGTGGGACCGTATCGTGTAGACTCCGGACGATCTGTGACAGGCATCCGAGTACAGTTCTAGACAGTGTGCCGCTAAATCAATCACACTACAGGAATCTTTAAAAAACAAGACGTGTTTCTCAAACATTGATGTCCCCTTATGGCATGACGAAGGTTAACGTTTCTCATATGCAAGTCTAACTACAAGGTCAAGAGATAAAAGAATGTTGTTACCCAAAGAAAGAACTTGTCTCACTGTGACTTGAACAAGGATTTGTCTTTTTGAAATATGAAAGACTAACCACCAAACGTTTAAATATTATGACCAAGTTTAAGGTTAAAAAAGTAGGTCAAGTTTCAAGGTCAAACGGTAATATATAAATGGTACCCAGCCCAAAGGAAATTCTTGTCACTAAAAGTACACATACATGTGAGTTATGAAAGCCTTAGCACCGACTGTTCAAAGGTTGTGGACAAGGTTAAAATTTTTCAATGTAGGTCAATCATCATTGTCAAGGTCAGAATTGTTGGTACACGCAAAACGATGTTCTTACAAACATCTTCAAATAAGAAAGCCGAATCTTCGGGCATTAAAATATCCTTTCACTGTAGAACAAATCAATAATTAATCAAATTATGAAAATGATATTTTACGTATACTCTAGTGTTACCTGTAACTGTGCGATAATAATTCCAACCAATTGCGATGTCCGTCGCAGACAGTTCATTGCACTCTTGTTGAAGACGACATATTCCCTCTTCCCGATTATATGCAAAACAGCTACATTGTTCTTTGCATTCAATGGCACACGATAACTTAGATATGGCAGAAAACTGGCCAAGAATTTCCTCAGGAAAAATTTTATCTTTTAGTTGGGTTACAGCTGTAAAGTTCTGCAATACTATGGAAGAAGATACGTTAGTTACTAGAATTACTAAAATTTTAAAAAATGTATACAAAAAACTTGCAGCCATTTTTAGATATTTTAAATAATTATATTTTGAATGTTCTCCGATTGAAATAGTAAAGCAAAGCTATGCAGCTTGTTTCCAGTCTTTACTTTTAAGGAATAATTTTCTGATGAATATTCATGATAATAATTATGATATAAATTTTGCAACATCCATCTTCAAAGGATCAAACTGTTCTCAGAAAAAAATCCTCTTTTTTTCAACTGCAGTTCGGAATTCATTTTCATGGATTGAAGAGCCCACGTCTTAAAATTTATGTAGAAATTTCAAAGCGTTAATTAAAGATCTAAAGTTTATTAATTACTTTTTCAATAACCAACAAATTATTTGAAATGCATTTTACTTGAAATAGTATTTCCAGCTTCAAAAATAAATGTTTGATTTTTTACTATCGAGTTAAAAGATAGATATCTCAAGAACTAGGAATAAGCTAAGAAATATCGATACATTTTGTTAAGGTTACATGTACTTAACATAAACCAAAAAAGAAAAATGATGCGTTGATTAATTTATATTTTTTGCCTGATTTTGATTTGAAATTTCATTGATTTAGAATGTCATGAACATAAATAATAAATACCTAAAGTATAAAGAAATCGTTAAGTTTCTTTAATGCTTATAGTACGAGACTTTGTTTCGCTTTCTATATAATCCTATACAAATTCTATATAATCCTATACAAATTCTTGCACAGCTTTTGACCTTATGAAAAAAAATTCTTATAAAATTCTCTTGTTTTACCTGGTAAACATTATTCAGTGTTACCAATTTAAATATAATCAAATTTATGAGAAATATTGCTGATTTCTGGGAAATGTTTATTTGTGTTATTTATAAAACTATATGAAAATTCTGAATTTCTCACTCTTCATTTTCAAATTTCAAGCGATTATTGAATCAAAAGAGGAAATTTCCTATATTTTATAACAATATTCAATTTTAATCGACTGAGTATCATATTTGCTGGTTTTTGTCTCTTGATGAAGTGGGGTGTATTTAAAATGACACTAGAAAGAAAGAACTTTGTCCAACAATCTAATTAGATATCAATTTTCCTTTCAGTATGCAGAATGACAATCAGTACTCGTCCGTCATCAGTTAAAAGGAAACTCTAAGGATTTTTGTTCAATATGCCGATGGAAATTAGGGAACATCCATCAAACTGATATCTTATTCTATATGTAAAATTCTTTGTATGGTTAAAGTATATTGAAATTCACCATGGAAGGTCCTACCGGTATTTTTTTCAGACGAACAAAGCACGCAACAGACGCAATAGAATTTTACGCTTACAAAAACGAGATGTATTTTAGAAACTTATTTTGCTAAGTGATTGAGTATTATGTGATTCTGAAAGGATTTTTAATTACCTCCCGCGATTGTTTTACCTCATTTTACACATCGATACTTATGCACGAAACCTCTAAAATCAGACCAAATTTGTACGAGTGGCGTTTTCAAAGAAAATTTTATTCTTAGTAACCATGGAAACACCGTTCACTGAAATTTAAAACTGATAGATAGAACTATGTATCTTAATGTAGCCTAACATTATGCCAAGTTATACTGAAATCTGACCAGCAGTGTTGGAGGAGTAGCGTTTTGAAAATTTTTCACAGATATATCTATTTTTAGTAGCCATGGCAACACCGTTCATCGAAATCAAGATTATGTATCTTAGTGTAGTCTACTGAAATCAGACCAAAATTGTAGGAGGAGAAGAGTTTTGAAAAATTGTTTACAGACAGACAGACAGACGGACAGCTAGACAGACAGATGGACGACAGACACCTTACTATTGAATAAGCTCTTCTGGTTTGAACTTAAAACGTCAAAAGGGATTCTTAATGTGAATTGTCAAAATAGTTAAATAGTATTTTTCACGCAAAACTTTACTTTTTTGCGATCCTGTGTTACCAGATATTCCTCGAATAAACTGTCTACATGAGGTAGACATGTACTTTGTAGACTGATTGATTGTATGTTGTTGAACGTCCCTCTCGAGAATTTTTAGCTCACCTGAGCCGAAGCTTTTCTGATCACATTTTGTCCGTCTGTCCGTCTGTCTGTCTGTCTGTCTGTAAACTTTTCACATTTTCGACTTCTTCTCAAGAACCACTGGCAAAACCAAACTTGCCACAAAGCATCCTTGGGTGAAGGGGATTCAAGTTTGTTCAAATGAAGGGCCACGCCCTCATTCAAGGGGAGATAATTGGGAATTAATGAAAATTTGGTGGCATGTTTTAAAAATCTTCTTCTCAAGAACCACTATGCCAGGAAAGATGAAACTTATGGGGTAACAAAATTGTAAGTTTGTTCAAATCATGACCCCCGGGGGTAGGGCGGGGCCAAAATGGCCGACCAAAGTTTTACATAGAAATATATAGGAAAATTCTTTAAAAATCTTCTTCTCAAGAACCACTGTGCCAGGAAAGATGAAACTTATGGGGTAACATTCTCAGGTAGTGTAGATTGAAGTTTGTTCAAATCATGACCCCCAGGGGTAGGGCGGGGCCAAAATGGCCGACCAAAGTTTTACATAGAAATATATAGGAAAATTCTTTAAAAATCTTCTTCTCAAGAATGACAGAGCCATAATTCATCAAATTTACATGGAAGCATTGAGTGAAGATTCAAGTTTGTTCTCATTAGGGCGGGGCCAAAATGGCCGACCAAAGTTTTACATAGAAATATATAGGAAAATTCTTTAAAAATTTTCTTCTCAAGAATGACAGAGCCATAATTCATCAAATTTATATGGAAGCATCCTTAGGTAGTGATTATCAAAATAGTTTTACATAGAAATATATAGGAAAATTCTTTAGAAATTTTTCAAAGCCATAATTCATCAAATTTATATGGAAGTATCTTAGTGAAGATTCTTTGTTCAAATCATGACCACTGGGGGTGGGGCGGGGCCAAAATGGCCGACCAAAGTTTTACATAGAAATTAATGGGAAAATTCTTTAAAAATCTTCTTCTCAAGAATGACAAAGCCATTATTCATCATATTTATATGGAAGCATCTTCAGGTAGTGTAGATTCAAATTTGTTCACATGACCCCAGGTAGGGCGGGGCCAAAATGGCCGATTTTACATAGAAATATATGGGAAAATTCTTTGAAGAATAGCAAATCCATGATTGATCATGTACTTTTGGATTTTAACTTTTCAATAATAAACCAATTTCTACTTTTTCTAAGCTACAGTACTCAGGTGAGCGATGTGGCCCATGGGCCTCTTGTTCACTCATACTTCGCCGGTGGAGAGAGCTGCAAATTTTGTCCTATGTCGGCACTCATGGCCATTCTAGGAGGATACTTAAGTTAAGAGTCAGCGGTTTAGAAAAAAGAAGAGGAGATTTTGTTTTTCGACAAAAACAGTTATCATCGCAACAGACAATTTTCGGTACTGCGGATTTCGAAACGGTTGCCGATATGTTGACGTAAAGATTTACAATTGGCATCCATGCAAGTTTAATAATAAACACTGGTGTCTAGTGGTACCGTAATAATATGATTCATGAAAGAAACTCACTCCTTCAACCGTCCGCAATGCACGGTTTACTCATGACTATAGTACATGTAACCCGTTCAAAGACGTTTAAGAATCCTATTTCCTACAATAATTCATCTATGATGTGGAAGTCCCTCTCGAGATTTTTTCACTCATATGGAGACGCCACCACTTGCCGGTGGATAGCTGCATAATTTGTCCTTTCCTCGGCACTCATGGCCATTGAGCAGGGAGGAATCTTTTTCCTGCCAGCAACTACTGTGACACGGGACCTTAGTTTATACAATCTCATCCGAAGGACCGGTCCCCACGTCCCACAGCGGGATTCGAACCCGCGACATAAGGGTTAACTCCTTACTTCGCGACTTGATAGCAGACGCTCTAACCACTGCGCAACAGGGGCGACTGTACTTGTAGATGAAGAATTGTAGGGTATTGTCTTTTTCAGGCTCTAAGATTTCTACTAATCCCCTAGGAAGAAGAGTAAAGTATTTCATTTACACAAATCTGATTCCTTAACTCCAGGCTGCTTCTTTCCTAGGTTTGGTTAAAACTGACCTAGTTGTCTTGTAGACAACAAAAATGCAAAATATTTACAGACATGTATAAAACTCATTATGGGTCCTCTGCCTGGGTGAGCTGAAATATTACTCTCAACACCTACTATCATTCAAACTAAAACAAATCATGGCTGCATATTTTATTGTAAAATATGTTACATTTTATAACAAATAGACTGATTTGCATGCATTATTATATCTACATGTACCCATACAAATCTAAATTGTCAGTTTTCATGACAGCAACAACAACAAAACATGAGAAAGTAAATGATAGTTTAAACCATACAATGGAACAAAGAATAATGTGAGCATGTAACAAATGTATTACATATCAAACTGCATTCTACTCAATAAAAATATTTTCATTCATGGAAATGTTCACTTCTGCAAGATATAAAAGCACGATCATTTTATGCATGTAGACATTAGGGTTTATTATGGCAATTCATAAGCTGTATTTTTGTATTTTCATTTTACACATGTGCAGAGCCAATCAATTTCAATGTTGTAAATGTCTGTATGCTGTAATTCCCATGGCAACAGCTGCTATGGTAACGCCACCTATAACTGAGGTCCACTTCCACTGAAAACAGAAAAGTAAAAATAGCTAGAGTGGAAGAACAAAAAATGGGCAACAATGCTCACCAAAATCATTAGAATTCAATGGGCAAATAAGCTGTATGCTTAAAAATTTAGCTAAGTGTTGATCATAAGCTTCTTGGCAAAATGCTTATGGCCAAAAGATGAACAGATCATAAAGCTGATTTCTGTTATGTTAGTTAATTGATCATAAGAGTTTGAGATAATGAAGTTTGACTGTACTTGCACACGTACTGTAGATACACAAATTTTCGTGGGGATCAAATTGCATTGATTTGTTTATATCTAAAATGGTATTGTGGGCATTAAATTTTGTGGTATAGAAAGTAACATTATTCAATATTACATGTATATAGTCATATGAAATTCCCTGTGGGATTTAGTTTTGTTGATAATTGTACACAACGAAATAAACGAAATTAAATTCCCAATGAAATTTTCCGCTTTTACTATATTTTTCTCTGAGTAACTTACCATACTGCTGGAGGACTGTGATGGCTTGTTGACTTTGGTCTGTGGTTTCTGTCCCAGCATTTTCTGGTACATATTCTTCTCAGACTGACTCTCAACTTGTAGCTTCTTGCTTAGCTTCATTATCTCTTGATTAATCACCTAAAATGTCAAAATTTTATCTGACTCTTTTTTATACAATGAATTTTTAGGAGTATGGTGGCATTTTGTGTAATTACAAGATTCAAGATAGGAAAATGTTAACATTTCACTAGATTCCTGAAACCCAAGAAGACATGTTGTATACAATGTCAGAATGCAGTATCTCTTAATTTTTATCTAAAGCAAGAACTATTTGGAGCACACAATTTAAACAGTGTAATGAACATTTGATAGATTACAATTTTTGGAATGAGAAATTAACCTGTATACCATAAGAAATATCACAATATTTGTTAATTCCCAAATTTTTGTGGGGTTTTTATAAATTTTCATTAATTTTGTGGCATGACGAGACCCACAAATTCATGTCCTATATATTTTATGATAACACTTTTTCAACCAAGAAAATAATTTCCCACAAACCAATTTTCTCCCAAACTCATAAAATATTGGACCCCCAAGAAAATATATGATTTTACAGAACATTACATGTATTTGTAGACTTGACTTACTTTAGTGTCTGGCTCTAATTTCTGAGCTTTTCTCATGTACAAAAGTCCTTCTTTTGTGTTTCCTTTTGCTGCATGACCCTTAAAAAGCAATTTTTAAAAATACTGTTATTAAAAATATGACATAAATTATGAAAATACATATTTTCACAAACATTTAAATGTACATGTAAAATACAATTTCCTATTAGTGTTATTTAAGGAATAACTATCTAATTTTTTGGTTTCATGATCTGATCAATCCAGTGGCTTGTGTGATAATTTGCATAAATACCTTTCCTGTTCTGAATAAAGCCTTTACATTCTCTGGTTGTACATCAAGGACATTTAAACATGACTTTATGGCAGCATCGAAAGCATTTGTCTGAAAGGAACACATCATACTGAAGATCTGATATGCAAAATACTATAGTGTATACAAAGTTTATATTTTGCCATTTCACACTTGAAACAATTTTGCCCTATTTTAAATTCACCCACCCAATTGAAATACGTACGATCATGTTTTCTTTGTAACAAATGCGGAAATAAAACAAGGGCAAACATTACCCTGTACATGTGTACTTGTGTAGATTACATCTGTATAAAAACAATGGTAAAACAGTGTACCCTCCTCTCCTTCAGAGCAGGGATATAATTATAACTTAACATATTCAGTGGTAATTAATCTTGTCTTAAATTTGCAATTTAACTTATTTTTGATTTATGCTTCTCATGCTCCATACTTACTTTCAGTTGACACGCCGCCATGTTGTTGTAACACTTCAGTCGACTCTCCAGTAACTGCTGTAAATTCTCTGCGGAATCGGAGCAAGTGGCAGGATCTAGAATCTGAACAGCCCTGTAGAACAATTTACACTGCATCAATCTTTTATGAAAACTATCCGCTCAATCTTACAACTTACTAGAAATTCTATCGATGATATTAAAAAATTATTATGTTGTTAAATTTCCAATGAAGGAAATATTAAATACAGTCAAACCTTGTTATCTCAAACTTGATAGGACAAAGAAAAAACTTCCAGATATCCAAAGATATCTAATGTAAAATACATCAAGGAAAAGTGTATATCAAAATATTTGTGACATATCCAAAATTCAACTGTATTTGTGATCAAATATTGCCAGATCATGTACAATAAGCCCTTTTAATATTGTGCTAGCATGATATTTCATTTGTTTCACAAACAAATTAAAAGTGATAACACAAATGATTTTATCCCCCCCCCCCCCCATTTGATAAAATTTTCCATGACTTTGGACAGGTTATATACACATTCTTTGGATCTTGAACAACCTTTGTGTCACAATCTAATCAAAATTACTGCCCACTCATTAAAATCAATATTTACTTAATGTGTGCTTACATCATAATAATAACTTACATTTACACATTTACGTAATTGTAAGATCTTACATTACATGTGTACTTAATTGTAATAACTTACTTTGTATAAGAGGTTATTGCAGACATGTAGTCTTCTCTTGTAAACAGAAAGTTTCCTCTTTCTTTTTTCTGTTCCCTGCATATCAAATAATGATCAAAGTTATTTATTTTTTCAAATATACCATTATTACTTAAACAATCTAGCATACAAGAAACAATGATACAAACTCTTAAGTTTTGATAAAGGTACACCAGTTTTAATTTGTAAAATATGCTTTTTGGAGGAAGTTTCCTAAATTTTAAACCCAGAGAAGTGTTACATGAACAATAGAATGTCTTGCCAAATTTATATGAAATACTTTGATGTTATATAAAAGCAATAACACATTGAAAAAAAGAGGTCAATAGGCCACAATGCTCACAAGAGTAACTTTAACATTGGTAAATTGAAAAAAGAGGCCATTAGGTCACAATGCTCATAATTGGTAAAGAAGCCTTGCTTAAAATTATGTAAGCCGAGTCTTTGTAATAGGCCACTTACCCATATTTCAGTCTCTCTGTGGCAGACATGCTGTCGTAATCTAGTGGGTAATCTTTTTTGATCAACTCTATGATGTATGTGAGGGAAGAGTTTGGTGGAATGTCTGGTTTTCTAAATAGAGCAATAAGACACTATGTTTATCACTTATTCATTGGATTTTACACAACCTTAGATTATGAAACTAAAGTCAGCTGTTAACCTTAGGCCAGGAACTAATCAGCTATGCCAAAAAATTTCTACGAAATGTTTGAAAATATAATTTTGTTTCTGTAAATTTTAACATCTGGACTAGCCATTTTTCAGCGAGTTTTATTTACCAACACAAGAGTATCTTTTTTACAGGAACTTTGGCTTTTATCATTGTGTGCATATTTAAAGACAAAGATGAAAACAATAAATTTTTAACAATCCCTACCTTCCCTTTTCTCCATATGCAAATCTGGCCTCTGTGTGAAGTTCTATAATTTGTCCTTCTTCCATTAGAGCAACAGCCAGATCCCAAGCTTTTCATGAAGAAAATGCTAATAAGTTTAATTTGTAATAATTTAATTCTGGTTGTAACGCTGTATTTGATTGGATAAAAAATTTACTTAATATTGTATAAAATGGGTTGCCTACGTCACAATGACTTGCGTCAAAAACGTATCAATCCGCCTGATGTTACATTCAAATTTTGTACAAACTGAAGTCATTTTGTTAGAACAATCATCTTTTTTTCTTACATCAAATGAATGAAAATTAAATTATAAGCAATGAATTTAAATAATTTTATATGGTATAAACTGTAACATTAATAAACCGCTTTTTAATAAAGCGTAAAGCCCCAATAGTTTATACCGTATAAAATGGGTAGCTATTAAATTCATTCCTTAAATACAAAATATTTCTTCATTGTCATCACATCTTCTTTAACATGACTTTTTATGGAAAATACATTTGATTACTGAAAGTTTTTTTTAATTTAATTCTCTAGCATTAAAATTGAAATCTAAGAATTAAATGTACATGTTTTAGAATTAAGCTCAAGGAAAAGGAAATACTTCAAGAAGCTAATTTATTTGAACTATTGATCAAAAGTTCAAAACATCATTTTAAGCATAATAGTACTAGGGGGTACTAGGGGGCATGGTTCTTGAGCACTTTCAGCATTGCCTCTTAGTAAGAAACTGATTTAAGTTTGTGTATACACAAATTACCTTGAATAACATCTCCGTCTCCCAGAACAAATGTCAACGATTCATGTACCTCGACAGCTGTCTCATCCTCAAGTTTACCTTCCACTTTGATTGTCACAACATCACCTGTAATTGGTCTTTTAGCACCTGGAGCTGCAGCTTTTAGGATCTGTATAAAATTAATAATACATGTACAACAATCTAACTGCTACTGAAATTTACACAAATGCACATTTACAAATGTTTACAAATTCGGTATTTGACAGTGGCTCTGAGAATAAGCTTGTTTTTTTTAACATAAATAAAGTTAGTCCATTAATATTAACTTTAGTACCTTTCTTTTAAGGGACCCACTTCCAAGAATATCTAGGTATTCCTCCTCCTCTTTCTTTTCAGTAGTACCATTACCTGTCTCTTCATTATCTTCTTTTAAACATTCATCTTTCACATCATTTTCTTTTACATTGTCAGGATTCATATTATCATTTTGAGGCTCTATATTTCCTGTGCTTTGTGTGCTACAATTATTGTCTTTATTCTGATCAACAACAGTGTCATTTTCAGAATCTGTCTTTTCATTGTCATTCTTTGTAACATTGTCATTATCTATAAGTGGGGGCATATCCTCTTCATTTTGATCACTAGACTCTGAAAGCTGATCTGTTACTTCAACTTTCCCATCCTCTGAGAATGACACACCCTCTGACAAAGATGTAGAGTCTTTTGATGCCATTGAATCTAAGTGAGCTGAATTGTTTTGATTGATATTGCCTTCTGATGCAACACTAGAGTCAGGGGCACCATTGTTACTGTCTTTTCCGATGCCACTGAGAATCGAGTTCTCCTCACTTTTCCCATCAATTATGTTATCAAATGGTCTTTGTTTGTCGTAATCTTCATGACTAGATACCGATTCCACTGAAAAAAATGTACATAACAGCATTTTCATAAAGAAAAGAATAACAAGCTTGACATGTATACATTAGCATAGTAAGTTTATTTATAAAATTGAAACATGGTAAAATATTGCATGGTCTACAATATTTTATAAAATTTTAATTAAACCGATCGTTTCAACATTTAATTAAAATCTTGAGAGAACTACAATCACGTGTATGATGCAAATAGTTCAATGACATTCTAGAACATGCGACAAAATCAACATAAATTAATGCGATGGCTGATCTTAAAGAAATATGATGATATAAATACTTAGAGAACAGATTTATCACAATTTATAGTCAAATTTAAAACACACAATTAAATATATTGTTAAATAAGAACAGGATTAAAAAAAACGTTTTTAGCCTACTTTCTGTTTCCTTTCACCTACGGATGCCGTAAAGCGATTTATACATTTGCGACAATCAAAGAAGCGTGTCATCTGCTCATTATGCATTACATATCAAAATAAGGCGAGAAGTGTTACTTATGTCACAACAAATCCAATTTTAATTCATTATAAATGGATTAACTATCCTTTAATGTTAACCTTTTCTGCCATTCTCTATCCAGAGTTGTCGTTCCCGCTACGCTCCCATTCTCTATCCAGAGTTGTCGTTCCCGCTACGCTCCCACATACACCTCTGTCAACGCTTGTTTTACAAGATTCTTTGAAAAATTGTAAATGATTAAAAATTGTATTAATAGTCGTTTATAATTATATTTCTTATCGGAAAACAATATTTATTTTAATTTGTTACACCTTAAAAGGATTTTTTAATTAAGATTTTAATTTTTACTGCGCAAAATAGTTCACTTAAAACTTTGAAAATAAGTCGTTTTAAGGGAATATAGGTTTGAAATAAATGATGAATTATCATTTTTTATCAATAATTACAATAATTTATTACTATTTTAACTTCAAAATTTCACCGTTTAAAATTTGTACAAGAATCTTGTACAACAAGCGTTGACAGAGGTGTAGTGAGCGTAGCGGAAGACAACTCTGGTTAGAGAATGAGAGAATGCCTTTTCTGCTACAGATGATTTAACAACAACCAGAAGTTGAATCTATTGTGCAGACAGGTGCCTGAAACATGTAAGAATCGATTAATTATGCTGTTTATCACCTAATTTCATCATTATCACACGAATGGTAAATTGATTTTTTAATCAAAGACCCGTAAGAAACAAAATATTTGAAAGAAATAAGTCAGGAAATTCGAATTTACCCAAATTTTCATTTTTGAAAATACATGATATTCTGTTTTTTCTAAATGTGTAATATCAGGGGCGTCCCAGAGTGATAATGTGTATATAATGGTGCCTGTTTTTTGAGGAAAAGAGTAAAAATTGACATCCCGGAAAGCCTCCACTGACGCGTCGGTTGACAATGCTTTTCCTTGGGGTGTCAATTTCAAATGATATCCTTAAAAAAAATAATATCAAAACAGGTACCATTATTTTATTATACTGAATTTCTGAATTCTTATTGATTTATGTTTTGAACATATTTTATTGACAACATGTCAAAGGGATTGGACACAAGTTCCAAAAACAAAAACTTAGGTAGTCCTCTTCCATGCATAGAATATCAAAAGCCATACAATATTTACAAAGATTTACAATGACTGATGTATGATATCAACAATTTCGTTATTTCTGCACGTGCAAGGATTATTTGTCTGTCATTTGTTGTTTACAATCAAGCAACATTGGCTACACATTTTCAATTGATTGACGATATGTTTATTCGTTTTTAGAATGGCCCAAGAAGAATGGACTCCGTTAGCCAAAAAGTACTGTCCTCTTATGGCGGGGAGTATTGATAAGACAGATACAGAACCACATGATCATGGGATCATCAGAGCCCTATCCTCATCCTACAAACCAAACAAAGATGTTGCAGGTGACCCTCACTGTACAGTGTTTGTGTCCCGCTTAAACCCCAAAACTGACGAAGAGACGCTTGAATCTGAACTCTCCTATTTTGGAGGTATTAATAAGATCAGATTAGTGAGGGACGTTGTCACTGGACATTCTAGATGTTACGCTTTTGTGGAATTCAAGGAGGAGCGATCGGCAGTTAGAGCTGAGAGGGATGGACATATGATGGAAATCGATGGACATGAAATTCTTGTTGACTTTGAACTGGAGCGCACTCTGCCAGGGTGGATTCCAAGAAGGATGGGGGGAGGTTTTGGAGGGAAAAAAGAATCAGGTCAGTTAAGATTTGGATGTAAAGATCGCCCATGGCGAAAACCAATTGCAATGCAATCAAGGAATATGTCAGATAATTTTGATGATGAAAGAGATGATAGTGGACAGAGATCTTATGACAGAAAAAGAGAAAAGTACAGAAAGCGCTCAAGAGAGAGAAGTAGGTCCCGGGACAGAGGAGAATCCAGGGACAGGCATGGAAAAAGAAGTCGTTCTTCAGACAGAAGGAGGAGAAAAAGGAGTAGATCCAAACACTGAGGATATTGATTACGAAAGTACCGGTATACAAAGATATAACCAGTATTATGAATTTGACTTGTATCATGCTGATCTGTGAGGAAATGCTCTTATAAATCAGACACAGACATATGATGTATGATAAATTCTTAAGAGTTTTGGTATAGTACTTTTTATGTATGTTTCCATTGAAGCACTCAATAAATTTGAGAGGTTACCTGGTTATATTACTTCTTGCCATTTATTTCTTTTGTTAATTGATATGTACTCCCCCCCCCCCCCCCTTCCCCTTCTAAACAATGTTGTTTTTTTTTCCAAAATAAAAAAAGACAACATATAATTGTATTTTACATATAATACATACTTTTAATGTACAAGTCTCCATTGAAACACTCAATAAATTTGAGAGGTTACCTGCTTATGTAAGTCCTTGTCATTCACTGCTTTTGATAAATGATATGCACTTGAACCTCGCTCCTTTCTAAATAAGGTTGTGATACTTTTTTCAAAATAAGAAACCATATAATTGTATTTTACACCTCTATTCAACTGTCCATTTTTCCATGTCTACAAAAGGTGTGAATGGCCTTAAGAACACACACCCAAGTCATGCTATGAGGCTACTTGCAACCTTTCATCTGAGACCAATTTAGGCACTAGTATTTTCTTTCAGCGAACATTGACCAAATATACATGGTCATATCCTATAGACAGCATATGTCCCACTAATTGTTTTTTTAGCTCTACTGGTCAGAGACCAGAAGAGCTTATGCGATAGTAATGCGTCCGGCGTCCGTCCGTCTGTCTGTAAACAATTTTTCAAAATGCTACTCCTCCTACAGTTTTGGTCTAATTTCAATATAACTTGGCACACAAGTAGACTACACTAAGATACATAATTCTGTGTATCGGTTTTTGATTTCGATGAACGGTTATGCCGTGGTTACTAAAAATAGAAATTTCTGTGAAATTCTTTCAAAATGCTACTCCTCCTACAGTTTTGGTCTGATTTCAGTATAACTTGGCACACAAGTAGAATACACTATATATATGTTTATCGGTTTTTGATTTCGATGAACGATGTTGCCGTGGTTACTAAAAATAGAAATTTCTGTGAAATTCTTTCAAAATGCTACTCCTCCTACAGGTTTGGTCTGATTTCAGTATAACTTGGCACACAAGTAGAATTCACTAAGATACATAATTCTGTGTATCGGTTTTTGATTTCGATGAACGGTGTTGCCGTGGTTACTAAAAATAGAAATTTCTGTGAAATTCTTTCAAAATGCTACTCCTCCTACAGTTTTGGTCTGATTTCAGTATAACTTGGCACACAAGTAGAATTCACTAAGATACATAATTCTGTGTATCGGTTTTTGATTTCGATGAACGTTGTTGCCGTGGTTACTAAAAATAGAAATTTCTGTGAAATTCTTTCAAAATGCTACTCCTCCTACAGTTTTGGTCTGATTTCAGTATAACTTGGCACACAAGTAGACTACACTAAGATACATAATTCTGTGTATCGGTTTTTGATTTCGATGAACGGTGTTGCAGTGGTTACTAAAAATAGAAATTTCTGTGAAATTCTTTCAAAATGCTACTCCTCCTACAGTTTTGGTCTGATTTCAGTATAATTTGGCACACAAGTAGAATACACTAAGATACATAAATCTGTGTATCGGTTTTTGATTTTGATGAACGGTGTTGCCGTGGTTACTAAAAATAGAAATATCTGTAAATTTGTTTCAAAATGCTACTCCTCCTACAGTTTTGGTCTGATTTCAATATAACTTTGCACACAAGTAGAATACACTAAGATACATAATTCTGTGTATCAAATTTTAATTTTGATGAACTGTGTTGCCGTGGTTACTAAAAATTGAAATGTCTGTAAAATTGTTTCAAAATGCTACTCCTCCTACAGTTTTGGTCTGATTTCAATATAACTTGGCACACAAGTAGACTACACTAAGAACATAAAGAGACTTTATCAACGATCATTATTCTATATATTGCTGTTGTAAAGTTTCAAATCCCAGCTGCTTAAGTACTCTTCTCTTCCTTTGCTATAAGTTCAAACCAGTAGAGCTTCAGTCTCGACAGAGACTTCTGGTTTAACTTGAGATATCTTTGTACATGCTATGCTGATTTTTTTTCCTGATGGATGAAAAAAGGAATGAATATCTCTTTAAAGCATTATATAAATATTTTATATTTTTAAGGATAAAACCAAGCAGCAAAGATATCAAGTAATACATGTATTTGGTTTATTATACTGAATTTATTAATTGACATTTAGCTGAACGTTCATACAATCAATATCTGCCATTACATCACCTATTGTCAAGTAATGTCTTCTTGCAAAGTAATGCCATTCTAGATGGATGTGGATATATGCTTTTTTATAAAAAAAAGCATGATGAATAAAGCTTTAATCTGTTAATGAAGGTCATCATTGGAATCCATGAATTTTCTCTCCGACGATGCCTGAAAGTACACACAAATATAATAAAGTAACAAACAGTTTATAATCTCAGAAAATATTTAATATTAAAAGTTATATTTATTTTATATAATTAATCACAGGCATGTAGCATCCAAAGGGACACCCCCTCCTTTCCCCAGACGTAACTTTTTACTACAGGAAATGTGCAGTTGACCCTTAAGTTTTTGGTGCAGTATCATACTGCACCAAAACCTTAAGGGTCAACTGCACATTAACCTCATTTGACATACTGAGTATGTTAAATACAGCCACGTAGCATCGTTTTTGAAAGTGGGGGGCCAGCATTTTTTTTCTTATATTTTGACAAGCCAAAAAAAATGAAAATAAAATTTTGTCCAAACTCAAAAATCCTATTTCGGGGGGGGGGGGGGGGGGGGGGGTTCAATTTCATGTAGTATAAAGTGGGGGGGGGGCAGCCATTCAATGAACATTTCCAATACTGATAGTAATGTTGGGGAAAAAAGTGGGGAGCCAGGATTTTCCGAGTTTGGATAATTTTTCTTTCTTTCTTTTTCTTGGCTTGTCAAGTTTTTTTTGCAATTAAGTTGAATCCCCCCTCCCCTCCATAAACGATGTTTTGACATTTAATCATAAAAATATGATCACAGTATGATAACTAACAGTACATGGTCAGTGGAAAGTATATTATGGTGCCAGAAAAATTGTTTTGGACAACAGCAAATCAAATTATATTGTGTTTGATTAAGTATTTTAAAAAGTGAATCAAGTTCTGCAAGATAAACACTACATGTACATAATTTTTCTTCTTCCAAAAGGACCAAGGCACTGATAGTTCGACTATTAAAAATATCTTTACAGACATAAAATAAAATGTTGTTTAGACATTAGATATGTCGGTATTTCAAAGTTTTTAAAAAGCACCAACAAGGGAATGTTATGAATAATTAACATAACAAAATAAATTTTGCAAGATGCATTCTCTAAATTCTTTTAAATACCTTGCATGGTGGTAGTAAATTTCACCAGATCGTTATGAAATCAAAAGTATTTAAATAGGGCAGCAGGGAAGAATTAAAAGTCTGGTTTCGAAACAGCAGTTGTCAAACCTTAACAGTTCAGTGACCACGTTTAGAAATGTTTACAAATAAACCGTCATGGCAGACATGAAAACAAAAAAATGTTGGATATAAACTACATGTTGATTCTTCTATTGTCAACGTACATTGTCACTGCAGCAGGTAAGTGTTGCAATGTCTATACACATTGAACATGTATTTGGTAATTCAAAATCGTTAAGAAGTAATGTAGATTAGTCCAAAACTGCCTTCATGGTGTAGTTCTGGTGCAAAGACTCGACTCTACCCTGGGGCTGACTTTAAGCTTTCAAAAGAGTTTCCATGCATCCAATGGTTAAAATCTTGTCTGCCTGTTATTTTGGACTGACAACGGAGTTAGATGTTTCAGAATTCTACATGTACCAGGATAAATAATTCTTTATATTGATGTTAGACTCTCTTAACCTTAATTAAGGGTGGGGGTCGGTTGGTTCTGAAAACATTTCCTCCTTCCCTAAGCAATAATGGGTACTACTTAGTATTTTGTTGGGCCCACTTAAACATTTCTATTTGTTTATCAAAGTTGTACACAATATTTACCATATAGACATTTCTGCCGAAAAATCTAAAAAAAAAATTATACATAATGATACAGATAGATCGATATAATAAATTCATATCCACGCATCTTACAGAGAATTTACATATGTAGTATTGAAACCAAAATGCAGAGGTTAGACATTTTGTAAAATTTGATGTTAAAAAAATAATCTAGATAAATATTGTTTCAATGCCCCCACTTAAGTTTAATTCCAACACAATACGAAAATGTGAGGAACATGGTTGCAAGTACTTTAAGACATCCGGGTTAAACACTGTTAATTAAATGATGAATAGTAAACAGTATTTGAAAAAAAAAACCCTCAGTATTTACAAACATTTTTTAATATTAAACACAAAAAAAAATAAAAGGGTTCAAGACCTGGAACATCCTCGATAACTTACAGGTAAAGAGAACTTTTAGACTCTATTAATAGAGATTTAAAAAAAATCTTAAAGAAATCAGTCACGAACCAACTGCATATAAGACCTTTCAATTGACTGATTTTAAAATGCATCTCGAAGCAAACGTGTCGTCTTGAATGCTGCTACAGTGATTCCCCAACTTCGCAAAAGGGAAGAGTGTTAATTTTACTGGATGGAAGTTCAAAATTTGAAAGAGGGTGATCATAACCAAAGAAATTCCTATTTGGTACACCCCAGGTCCCTTTTCCTAAAAAGATAAAAACTTAAATAGATGGAAAGAAATTAGTAGTTTAAATTAAATGAATTCCGTGCATTGCATTTTGAACCAAATACCATTGACTTAAATGTCAGAAAACTTCATAAAATGGGTATTTTGAAACCAATTTTCTGTCAATATAAACTTTTCATCTTTATGAATACTTTCATTCAGAGGAACATGATATTCGGGAGCAGCTTCTGAGTTTGGTCATATTTGATTTCAAACCAACGTGTTACTAAAAATGACATTTTTTTTTTTAAAATTACAGTTGAATTATGTCCAGATGGCCAGTCATTTGTAAATTGTTTCGTAGCACCTTGTGACGTTTCCACTTGTCCAGCTTTTCCAACGGCGATCTGCAAGTAAGCACCTTTTATTTATTTATTTTTTGTTGTTGTTGACACGGTAACAGCAGTTTTAAATTCTCTGATGGTTGAATTTGAAAATTTCACATAGCATGTTGAATATTAGCGCAGTTTTCCTTCATAAACAGATAAAGACGTTTCCTTTGTGAAATAGAGGCCCGGGTTCAATACTCGTTCGCCGCACCGCGTCCAAACAAGTACTTGACCTGTGGACTGCATACCAATCTTACCCTAGAATTAAAAAAAAAACATTCTTTAGCAAAAATAAGCAAATGAAACTGATGTTACATGTAGAATCTCTACTTTTGAATTTAAAAGCACAGATTCCCGAATTACCCCATTTTTATCGGTTTGACATGAGTCTAGGCTTAATTAATTATGAAATTCACAGCTATAACGTGTTTTGTCTAGGGATGACTATTGTGGAGGATGTAACGCCGTCTGGAGTCTTAATGATACTGATGTTACAAGCGACTGTCAAAAAAGTGAGTACCTACTGAAATAAGCAAATCCAGATAACTGACGACAAAACAGTAAAATCTACACAAACGATCCAGATGTCAAAACAGTAAGAATGAACAAACGACCTATATGTGAAACAGTTAGTACCTACAACAGAATCCATATAACAAAACAATAAGTTTCTACATACCGGTAGACCTAAAGAAGGTCTATGGTTTCTATAAACGATACAGATTTTACTAGTTCATTTCAAAAAGTAAGTATCTACAAACCATACATATGTTAATAGCGACAGTTTAAACAGTTTTCAACAAAAATTCAGATGCCGTTTGGGGCTTTAACGGTAGAGAGTAAAAATACAGACTGATGCAGTTTTAGATTATGTAAAAATATTACAGAGTCTGCAGAAGTACGATTGATACATGGAAACAACATCAATCATGGAATGGTAGAAGTCTGGCAAGAGAACCAATGGAAACTCCTGTGTGCTTGGCCCCAGTTCTTTGCCAGAGATGCCCTGGTCATATGCAAACAGTTGGGATTCAGCCAAGGAACAGTTTTACCAATGGCAGCTTACGGACGACAAATGGGAAACTACTCCCATCCATTCAAGGGCTGCTCCAATGGAGAGAATAGAATACAGGATTGTCAGTTCGACAAAAATTACACTCCAAATGTCTGTGCCACACAGGATGTTCATTATGGCTCCGTCAGCTGCTATGATAAACTAAAAGGCTAGTATTTTACATCTCTTGATAAGAAATGCCACATTTGAATCAAAAGATAAAACCTCTATCCAATCTAAGCAAAACAGACTCCTCAGATGACATATAATTCATGCACAGAGCATATACGGAAAAGGTCTGATTTTAATTTGGGTCTTATTTTACCGTTTGTAGAAGGTGGTATTCAACTATCACCCTTACACAAAGACAGCAAGGACTCACAGCTAAACAGCGGTAAAGTTGAAATATTCCAGCAACAAGTTTTTGGTCAAGTTTGCTCTACCTACTTTGCTGAAGAAGAGGCAAATGTCACGTGTAGGCAGTTGGGATTTTTGGGAGGAGTGCCGATGACCCATGAAGCAGAGGATACGCTCCCTTTCTTGCTCACAGGCTTGCATTGCCATGGCAACGAAAGTAAATTATCGGAGTGTTATCAAGAGTTGCAGATTTGTTACACAGACCAAAGAGCAGGTGTATTGTGTTATAACTCGTCAGGTATGTCCAACATGACAAAGATTGTAGTGTTATTCTCTTAGACTTAAATTTCAATTAATAAAGCAGTCATTAATCAATTTTTATCATTCGTTGGTGATACAATTCCAGGGTCATGATTTTGATACAATTTTAGGGGTTGGGTTTTCTCTTGCTGAAAGCAAAACTAGTTCTGGTGGAATTGCAGTTATTTCTGTTGATGGCAGTGGCCAAGGTTGGTTATTAACTGGAATTTCATATTCGTAAGTTATAATTCTAATCCCTATGATAACTAAGTGTTTAAGGATAAGTACCATCCCTCATTTCTCCTATTCACGAACACAGAATACGAAATATTTTATTCTTCTATATGAACAGAGGCAAATCCTCGGAATTAGCGAGAGATGTCTACTTGTCCAGCGTGAGTTGTTTAGGAGTGGAAAATTCTGTGATTGCATGCAAAGGATCTGGATGGAGGAATGTAAATCGAACTTACTGTAACCATGACAACGACGCAGGGGTGTACTGCTACAAAAGTGGTATAGTTTATATATTGCCAAGGCTATTCCTCTTTCTTATAACTTCTGTTAAAATGTTTATATTAAGTTGAGAAGGTAAAATAGCTATCTTTTATAACCCACGCAACACAGCTATACGAAATATTTTATTCTTCTATTTGAACAGAGGCAAATCCTCGGAAAATTTTCATGCAATTTTTGTCTACTTTGTCTCAGCGTGAATTGTTTAGGATGAAAATTCTAGCATTGTGACGTCATCAGGATTTCAGAAGGATCTGGATGGAGAAATTTCAAACCTCAGAAATCACATTAACCATGACAACGACGCAGGAGTGTACTGCTACAAAAGTGGTAAGTGTCCACTATATTGTTAAGACTGAAGTAAAGATCAATGCTTTTTCTAGTACAACAATATTTTTTCATAAAATCTTTACCTCTCCACAGTGCGATTGTCCTATGGATACCAAAGGGATAATGCAACACTCGGCATCGTTGAAGTCTTCCAGAAGTATTACTGGACTACTTTATGCGCGGACAGATTCGACCAAAAAGACGCTGATGTCGTCTGCAGACAACTGGGTTACTCAAGAGCAAGGGTCCTACTTCCAGGTCTGTTTGGAAGATCAGGGAGATATGTTTACACGATATCCATAAATTGCACGGGAAATGAAACTGACATCTTGCAGTGTGAGCATGACACAGGATATTGTTCTTCAGATAACTACGCATCTCTTCTTTGTACACACGAAGACACCAATCCACGTAAGTCTTCGTTTTTTCAAAGGAATTAAAAAATTAATATTGTTTCATGAAGGATTCTTATAACACATATACATGTATACTAGTAAATTGTCGAAATTTTTGGTTTAGAGCTCAGTGTTAACATTGAGCACTCCGACAACGGTCGAGTGATGGTAAGTCAGTTTGACGTCAAAGGAACGGTTTGTCGTAATGGTTGGGAAAACATGGCGGCAATGGTCCTCTGTCGGGAGCACGGCTTCAAAGGAGGAGTTGTTTACAGTTCCTCTGATGAACTCGCGCGCTATCAACCCATTTGGATTGGAAGTGTCAAGGTAGGCAAGAATAAATCTTTGTCATCTTTTCTAAATTTTGACTTAAGGTTGTAGGCAAATAGGCTGAATATTTTATAACTTCACATTATTTGCAGTGTTCAGGTCAAGAAAAGCGTATAGTTGATTGTGTGTTTAATTACTCCGTGTCTCCAGAGTGTGGATACGATAGGTCATCCGCAGGCGTGCTTTGTTATAACAGTACAGGTTTGTTACATACAATTTTTCGATGTTGATTTACGAATAGTCAAACAATTAAGAAAAATGCTCTGTTACAGGCTTCTTGGGTTGTCTTGCATTGCAATTTTGTGATCATTCAAAATCTGGCCAGAGTGTAAGAATCCTCTTCAATTTCAAAATCTGGGATCTGAAACGTGTCTTCTTGGCCAAATTCAATCAATCTAAATAGCTTATATAAAATTAATGTTTATTTAAAAGTCTAATATATCAATTAAAAAAAAAAACATTTTAGGTATGAAAATTCGTCTAGCTGGAGGTTATAATGCAAACCAAGGCAGAGTGGAAATATCACGTGACTCAGTTTGGGGAACGATCTGTCACAATAGATGGTCAACAAGTGACGCCGATGTCGTGTGTCGACAGCTTCATTATGCAAGTGGAACCTCGTATCGCGACTCTTATCATGGCGCAGGGACCGGGCCCGTCCTGATGGACAGAGTCAGCTGTTTCGGCTCCGAAAACTCTATTTTTGAGTGTGCGAATCTGGGGTGGAATCAGTCAGCTGACGCCTGCAAAGACCATTCTCAGGACGCCGGAGTGTACTGTATGCCATGGGGTAAATTTTTTGATATCATGATGTCATCTTTCAATTTAATTTAAATAATCAAAGGTAAATAAAATAATGTTGGAACTCTTTCTCCTAATCTTCCACCTAAGTAGTCTGGTAGAGCCAAGGTATTATGGTAGTTTCCTGGTTAAAGGATAAATTTCAACCAAACGTATAGAAAAATATAAGTATAAATCGGTAAAAATCACATTAATCAGTGGATGAAAGATTCAACCTTTCTTGAAATCAGAGTCAGTTATTGGTGTGATGGCTTTTCAGTGAAATTATCCCAACACAATTACGGAACAGTATTGGCATGGAAGAAAAACAATTATGGACCAGTTTGCGCCGATGGATTTGATGAGAATGCAGCACGTGTCGTCTGCAATGAATTACAATACAGCTATTCGATCAAGTTCTGCTGTTCAGGCTTAGGACCAGAACCCAAGGATCTGGATCTTGCAATGTCAGATGTTCACTGTGATGGGACGGAGAGCGGTTTAAGGCAATGCAAGAACGAGTATATCAATCCTAGCTGCAGTGATAAGAACTATGCCGCAGTTTACTGCACGAATACTAATCCAGCACAAAGTACCTGTAAGGGTTGTTCAAATTATCTTAACATTTATTTTGTGTACATTTAATGAACATTTACAATGCGTAACTAGAATGAATTGCATACGAATATTGTATTTCAGTTTTATCGCGTTGTTTACCAAAGATAAGACTAATAGAAGCTATTCCTTCTGTCTCTAAACGTCTTGATTTTACTTGCTTCATGATTTCAGTAAGTGTTCACGTGGGGCAATCAAACATCGTTGAAGTGACTTACGTATATCAACCTGGTCTGCTCAGTGCTGCCGATTTTACCGACAAAGACGCCTCAGTCATTTGTCGAGAAAACGGTTTTCTGTCTGGGAAAGCTCTTCGGCATCTTCGACCAAAGCATAAAGACCTTTTCTGGCTGAGGAATGTCTCATGTCTTGGAAATGAGAATAAGTTCAATGAATGTCCAAATGCTGGAAAGATCGGAGACCTTGGTCGTTTTGATGATAGCATCGCTGCAGCCGTTGCTTGTTCAAATGCAAATGGTTTGATTAATATATCATTATATGCATGACATCAAGCATTTTTTACTTTCTTCTATCTTTTTAACCACTGCTTGTACATCTCAGTATCATACACTGACTAAAAAAGGTCTTCACATCATGTTCAAATTTATTTTTAGAACCACCAAAAACTCAATTGAGACTCTCATATGGGAGTAAACTAAGCGAAGGCCATGTTCAACTTAACTTGAACGGAGTTTGGGGGTCATTGTGTGCGGGTAACTTGACGGACGCTGAGGCCAAGGTCATATGTAAATTAAGCGGATATAGAGATGGTGTGGCCCTGCCAGGTGGCTCTTTCGGACAAAATTACCCTAGGGGTACCCCTTTGATGGATTACTTAAACTGTACTGGAGATGAAAAGCGCCTTATAGATTGTGTGGTGTCTTTATCGTCCAGTCAGTCGCTGTGTCCCCTTCAGACGATGTCAGCGGTGAAATGTTACGAAACGGGTATGTAAAATTACGATAGTAGATAGAAACGTACAACACGACAAAGTCAAATTAACAGTATTACAATCAAAGTACTCAGAAGTACAGACAGCCGGGCTCATTTACAGAATAGAATGGATTTCTTATATGAATCACGTTTATATTCTGATGAAAAAAATATTTTAAACTATCAATGTAAATGATTAGACACTGACAGTGAGTTTTTCAATCCTAATACCATGGTCAAAATTTGTCAGAATCAGAATTAATCTGGTACCGCAGCTGAATGTAAACAAATAGGCCAGTCTGGTTCCCTCTCCTGCTTTACCTCGTATGTGTAGAAAACTACGGTAACACTGATTGTCAAAAATCCTTACGCTAATGAACTATGTTCTTTGACTTATGAATTTTTTAAAGTCATTACTACTAATGTTTATTTTATATAGGTAAAACTTCGTTTTATTTTTGTTGCTTTATTTAGCGTTTGTATTATCTCAAAAGCGGTTGAGAGTAAGAACTATATTTTTGCACGTAACTTTGAAATGGCGACTATGGGGTCAACATCCTGCCTTGAACAGGATCACATAAGCCGGCAATTGCTCTTTGAGCAATAAGCCCGGCTAAAAATTACGTAGAGATGGTTCACACAGCATTGAAATGATCTCTTGTATGAGTTCGACATTTTAAATGTAAAACTGTGATATTAACTGAAATCTTTTTGTAGTTCGTCTGACGGGAAGCAGTCGTGTGGATTATGGACGTCTTGAACTTTGGAATGATGATGGCTGGTACTCCGTCTGCGATGAGAATTTCGATGATCAAGATGCTACTGTCGTCTGCAAAGCCTTGGGTTTTACTCTTGGAAAAGCCCAATGTTGTTCAGCAGTGGGAAATAATGGAACTGTAAACCCCATACTGTTCTCCAATTTCTCCTGTACTGGTAACGAGTTCAATCCCTTTTCTTGTACATACGAGAAAACTGGCCGGTGTAGAAGTGGGAAGTACGCATCGGTGCTTTGTTTGCAAACTTCAACAGAAGAAGGTAAACCAAAACTGCAAAGCTTTGTAATCAATAGCTAGACCATTTACATATCATTTAGATACAGTCGTTTTCTTTCATGTGTTCAGTATTGGTACTTTCTTTCAGATCTGACAATTCACTTAGAAAGCTTTTATGGACCAGTTGTGATTTCAAGATATGGCCTCTCGGGATACGTCTGCAATAAACTCTTTGACAACTTTGATGCCACCATGATCTGCAAGACAAAAGGATACCAGACGGGGTACGCAGTGAACGTTTACAAGGACTTCACATTTCCGATTGTAATGGGAAACTTAACATGTAATGGCGCCAATGAAATCAACAGATGCACCTTCTCCAAGTTCAGTGATGATCATGGATGTTCTGATAGCGATACAGTTGCAGGCGTGATTTGTTCTAACACGGATAAGCTATTGTTTAAGCTTGATAGTCAAATCAAGACGAAGGGTATCCCAAAATTAGAAGTTGGAAGCAATACTCTCTACCTAGATGATACTTACTTTGACGAAGCAGCAGTCAATCTGTTTTGTCTAAATGCAGGCTTTGCAGGCGGATCCAGACTTTCTCAGTCCATAAGTTTGCCGTCAGTTCACAATATTGTCACAGATATCAGGTGTTCTCCCAATGCTCCTAGAATTACACACTGTAAAGGAAACTGGGATCCAAGGAAATCCAAGTCTATACCAATATTTGAAATTTCCTGTTTTCACCAAGGTAAATTATTTTCCTGCAAACTAAAACCATGTTTATGCTTGCCCTGTATCTTTAAAAGCATACCGATAAATTGCACTTTGCCTTCACTGCTATTTTTTCTTTTATCTGGTTTAGCGGTAAAGTGAAAGTATTTTATGAAAAGATTTTTAATTAAAGAAAAATGTGGATAGAAACTGTGAAATTGAATTTGAAGGAAATAAACCGAAGTTTTGCTAGAAAAGATTTAAAAAAGAACTGGTGAAATCAAAGATCCATACAATAGTCTTAAAGTAATTTCTGCGAGACTGAGTGTACATCTGGTGTGGTATTCGTACAATAAGGACCATGGATTTGGAGTCAAATTCCATCTTTAACTTTTGTGAAAAGTAATTTTTCGTCGATCATGATCACTGGAAACTTTCATCTTTTCATTTATTTGCAGCCCGATTGGAAAACGGTGGTACTTTCTATGGTGCTGTTGAATTATATAGCAGTAATTCCTGGGGGACGGTATGTCCAGAATCCTTTGGACAGCCTGAAGCAGGTACTCGTCCTAATTTCTATTTTAAGATATTGGATGAATGGTTTATCTGTTTGATTCTCTATAATCATCCTCCTTCTTTTCAGATGTTGTCTGTACCACACTTGGATATAAACGAAGTTTGCCCATATGCTGTTCTCCATTTGGACCAATACCAAGCAAACAGTTATTTACGGAGTTTCAATGCAGTGGATCAGAAAAGAACATTTTGGAATGTTCGCACACTTTTCAGCGATCCGGAGTTCAGTGTCGCCGAAACGAATTGCAGTATGCTTCTGTTTTGTGTTACAATGGAATACTGACTCAAGGCAAGCGACCTTCATTTCATTAAAGTCTTAAACTTGAAAATATAAACTAAACAACTGTGCTATTAAGACAGCAAGTTCTGGTTTTAAAAAAAAGTAAATGATACAGAAAACATCTTTGTTAGCATTTGGTTTATGTTCTAGATTACAGTATAAAGATTAATGGCGGGAAATATTTTGGTGACGTCAAAGTGAGCTACATGGGTGTAGACGGCCGGATTTGTCGAGACGGTTGGGATGATAATGACGCCCGAGTTGTATGTCGACAAAACAATTATATCCGGGGACTAGCTTACAGCCATTATGTGGAGGAGGGAAAACAACTGTGGAAGTGGTAAATGATACAGAAAACATCTTTGTTAGCATTTGGATTTCTAACGTTCAATGTCAAGGTCACGAGGGCTCCCTACAGGAGTGTCCTCATTCCCCAGTGGGATCTGTAACGGAGTGTAAATCTCTCCACTACGCTGGAGTTTTCTGCTTCAATGACCAAGGTTTGTGAAATATCAACATTATGCATCAGTGTTTGATACTTGGTATTTCTAAGCCATTTCTACTTGGTATTTCTAAGCCATTTCTACTTGGTATTTCTAAGTCATTTTGTGCTCAGTTAGTTTCTTTAGAAATTGGATCATTGGGAGTTGTATCAAAGATTTTTGTATCGACACTTGTCCTGTAAAAATCTAAATCTAAAAATAAATTGTTTTCAGGTATATATTACCGTATATCCGGTGGAGACCCCTCGGGTAGATCAGGAAGGGCAGAGATATTTTTCGACGACAATTGGGGTACTATGTGTAGCACAAACTGGGGTGAAGAGGAAGCAACTGCCCTTTGTAGACAAATGGGATTTCATGGCGGTGATCCCATTGAAGGTCCCTACAAGGTGCCCGGAAAGGGCGTGGTCTATAAATCCTCGTATCAGTGCACTGATGAAAGCACGAGTCTGACCGACTGCCCTCACAGTGGATGGCAGGAAGTCGTCGATGGAGAATGCGTGGATCACAGGAATGATGCGGGGGTGTTCTGTTATCAAAATGGTAGCGGTCATTTCATGCCACTTTGGAATTTTTATGACATTTTAGTATATAAAGAGTGTTGCCCATCGATCAAATAAATAGATCTGTACGCGATTAAAATCATGAAATACCCAACCTTTGCTTCGATCGCTAATAGATAAAATACGGCAATGACATTTGTCAGAATACAATTGTACAGATGTCAAAGCTTTTGAAAATCAACACTACCGACTGAACTCTAATTTATGAGCAAACAACAGCATATTTAGTTATTTTTTCAATGGTTTTCTTTTTAAATTTCTCTTTTAAAGATATTATGTATTATTATACGAGAAAAGCTTGGTTTGGACAGTTTAACAAAGTAGGAAAAATTGAGGAAACAAAATCTTTTAAGAATCCCCCTTTAAAATACTTGATGAACTTCAAGGCTTTTTATTTCAATTTTAGTGCGGATATATAACAGCATAGGTAGAAGCAAATCATCTGGACCAGTGTTGCTATTCCGACAAAATCAGTGGTACCTGCTGTGCGATGATGGTTTCACGGACCAAGGAGCCACTCTGGTGTGCCAGGAACTGGGTTTCCCCTATGGCTATGCTTCTTGCTGCTCCACCGACGGACCACTAAGTTATCCAATCTGGATGAACCACACTCTGGATTGTGCCTCGGGAACACATGTGGAAGAATGTCTTCAAAGGAAGACTTGTGCTAGAAAGAGTTATGCCTCTGTAACTTGCACTCATCTACCAAGGCCAAAACCCGGTAAGTATAGGGTCAAACTTTTTTTTAGATATTAGTATGATATTAGTGGAAATGAAAATCGTCAAAGATATAAGCATATTTGAAAGCTGTTGGTTCTTAATAAGATTTCAACATTTTCAGACACCTCACCAAAGCCAGACGCTCCTTTACCTTCAAAGGCAGACGACAACAAAACAGTTGTGGCCGTAATCTCCGCAATTGCTGGATTTTTGTTGTTTGTAGTAATTGTCATAATTGTGATAAAGTGCCGTCAATCAAAGAAAAAAGACACAGGTAGTGACGTGCATGGCTCGTTTAGGGAAGGTGTGTTGAACAAGTCACATGACGGATCTATCCACGCCCAGAATCCACTCCACGACCTTTATGACTCTGCTGACGTCAGAATACAAAATGACAGCGTTCAGTATCACAATCATGGTGAAGACAGGAACCCAGCACTAGCTTTCTCTAACATCAACTACAATACAATTCATTTTTCACCAGAGCAGACAGATAGTGACTTTGACACAAGTGATGACCACATCGTTGAACATAAAGACACCAAGCCTCTCGGTATTAAATCTGAAATTGAGGACTCATCATATGCAGTAATGAGACCGAATTTTTCGGCATCTGATTTACATGTGTATGATAACCAACAGAACAAAACCTACCATAATTGTGTGACAATAGAAAATGCCCCAGAGGATCGCCCGACTCCCCACTTTACCCGATCCCTATCAGAATGTAGAGAAATAGCTCCTCCAGAATGATAGTTTGTGTTACCGTTTTTAAAAGTCCTATGTTTGTCAATTAGTCTTCCATATTGAATCAGGATTATTAATACGGGCTTTAAATCATATGGGTGTAGATTATGTATCCTTCTACCTCATTTCATACAGGGTATTCCAAAACACTTTCATTTTCAAATTATGGTTACATAACCATTTTATGACTTCTGTTCATTCCAAAGTATATACAGGAATGTTGTACCTTTGCTTCAAATGTTATATTTACTGATTGTTTAAATTGAAATGAAATAAAACAAAAAAGTACAAATAATGAAACTTTGTCTTATTTATTCATAACAGTCCCGAAGGTGAGCTCTGAAAAGTTCCATTTTAATTAAACAATCAAATTAAAGCACAATATATAAGTTACACCGGTATTGGATATTTACTAGTATTTCATTATGGTTGCAATATTATTCGCAATAAATTCATTTTTCCTCAACAAAAGTTGACAAAAGACTATTTTATTGTTACTATGGACACATACACCAAAGCAAAAGGTATAAATCACCATGCAATACTGTGATAAAAATTGTAGCCTGTTTTCAACATGAATTTTGCAAATTACCAGGAAAAATTCAACAGAAATGTCTGCCAAATAAAGAACTGCGAGAAAAAAGAGTTTGGGGTGTCCCCTCCTTGGTCCTAAAACCTGTTGTAATTATATTTTTGAACGTCCAAATATCCACATAGAATCAGTTATATAAGCAGCTATTCCTTTGTTCTAGGGAGTTTGAATTACCAACAGAAATTTCAAAAGAGAAATTGAATTCGGAGATATTAAAACACTTCTTTGACTATTAGAAACTGGAGAGATACCTTCATAAAATTGTATTGTAATCGATTAGTAAAATTATAATTACTAGTGGAAACCTAAACACCCCCACCCATCACCCCTGAAAAACCTGGTAGTTTTTGGTCAAGTTTAGACGTTAACTATCTATTGCTTGACCACTTTTTAAAAAAAATTTCTTATTTTTGTTCATTGCGAGTTAAAATCTTTAAATTAAAACTTATATGTTTGGTTCCATTTTCGGGGGGTGGGGGTGGGGTGTGCCTGCAAGAACAAACGTTAAAATCGGCGTGCATTGCGATAGATCACATGTACTTCCAATTTTAACTGGAATAAAAAAAAAATTAAAACTTATATGTATGGCTCCATTTTCGTATCCAAACGTTAAAACCGGCGTGCATCGCGATAGATCACATGTACTTCCAATTTTAACTGGAATATAAAAAAATCAATTAATATTCATGTGAAAAGTAGAGGGAGACTTTAACAGAACATAGATACCCCCCAGTGCTTTAGGTTTTAATTCGGATTTGGATGGAAGGCTCTTGGAAAATCATGGGTTTTTACTTTATAAGAAATATCTATTAAATAATTTTCAGTGTATATTTGTGAAAAGCATATGTAATTTTCAAGTAACAGGGGTCAAAAAGATGCCTTTTGGTTCAGAACATGCTAGGGAAACGGCTGGGCGTATTTTCATTAAAATGTCTCGAAGAATATGGGTGGATCAGTCTTATCCATTTGAAAAAAAAGCAACATTACAAAGAAAGAAAATACCATGATGTACAGATTTGTGAAAGAAAAATAACTTGAATCCAAGAGCTCCACCCCTCTTACATACACACGCAAGTACCTCAATTACCTGCAGGAACATTGTCTTTGAAATTTTTGAAAACAATTATTTAAATCTTTTAATTTATAAATCTTGACAGTTTTACAACTTATGTATGATTTTTTTTATTGTTTGACTATGTCCAAGTCCATAGTCTTAAATGAAATATGGAACCGGATGAAAAATCTTTGATCCACCTATTATGGATTGTAATCTGTGCGTCACGTGTAAAGCGGGTGTATGAGGCAGTGAGTTGTACTCAGCCACTAACAATACCAGTCTGACCTGTCCACAACCAACAAGTCTACTGCGTATATATCTAAGCATTGGTCTGGGTAGATAAAGACTGGTGAGTTTTTATGTACTACATTGTATCTCCATTATACTTAAAATCTATAAAAATGAAGTGAACACTGTATTTATGAATTTTCTTTTAAGTTAGTAAATTGGGTAGGAATAATTGGTGTGTGGTATGAATTTTGTATGAGTACGTAGGATTTTATCTAAAAGGCCCTATAGGGCACATACTCTTGATGTTGTGCGCTAGGGTACACCCAATCTCTGAAACATCAACATTTTTAAAAGTGGGGGATATTAATTTGGGTTTGTCTTTTGGGCTACACATATCTCGGTTTTCAATGAAATTTAAAGCCTTGCCAAAAAGACCCCTATTGATTTTGAGGTCAAAAGGTCAAAGGTTTAAAACACAGAAAACCTTACCGAAATCTTTGATTACACGTTGCAAAATTTTTTAAAAGTCTCATCATTTAGCTGTAATACTACCGAAATGAATGGGTGGTTATGGGGATTTATGGTAAGTTATAGATTTATTCATATCATTATTTTTCAACTTGCGAATATTTATTCAAAAAACATTGCTTCACGCGTATTTAAACAAGAGGCCCATGGGCTATATCGCTCACCTGATCAAACACTAGCTACGACAGATTAGAATTCAGTATAATCTTTTGAAAAAATTACGTGCAGATGGGGTAGATGGGTGATTGGCAACTTGAATTTACACTACCCGAGGATGCTATTATATCGATATAAATTATCAATTCTCTACTGTTCTTGAGCAACAGATTTTCCCCAATGAATCTCTATGGAAAATTTTGATCTCTCCCCTTGGATCTTCCCTACTTTAGAATGCTTTTAACTTAATATGACATATCATGGCTTTAATTTTCTTAAAAAGATTTTTTAAAAAAAGATTTCTTCTCCTCGTATTGTAACTAAGTTATGCCACTGGTTAATTAAGATGCAGAGGTTTTTGGAACATCATTTAAAAAAAGAAGTGACTAGAGAGATGCCGATCCCTAAAGAGAAAATTGCATTGGTTTCTAAATTTTATATTTGTTGATGTTTTTTTTTTGTTTTTGTTTTTTTGTTTTTTGTTTTTTGTTTTTAATTTCTTAACTTTAAAACCCGTCCGTCCGCGGAACCATAGAAAAAATGGAAAGACCCTATCATAATTAATCATGGCTTTCTGTTGTAAAGATTGATTGATCGATTGTATATGGTTTAACGTCCCTCTCGAGAATTTTATCATATGGAGACGCCACCACTAGGCCGGCGGAAAGCTGCAAATTTTGTCTTGCACTCGGCACTTAGCTCCATTGAGCAGGGAGGGATCTTTCTACTGCGACACGGGACCTAGGATTATACGGTCTCATTAGAAGGATCGGTCTCCACAACCCACAGTGGGTTTCGAACCCGCGACTTAAGGATAAACTCTTTACTTTGCGACTCTATAGCAGACATTCTAACCACTGCGCCACGCGGGATGTAAAGAAGAAGATATTTAAGTTTTTTTTCGTACATATTCCCATGTAAAAATTAATCCTCCTTTATAGGCTCTTCTCTATCGTGGGGGGGGGGGGGTGTCATCATTTGAACAAACTAAAATCTACACTTCCTAAGGATGCTTCTATATCAAGATGACTAAACATGTCTCTGTTGTTGTTGGGAAGCTCATGTGAGCTAAAAACAAAAGAACTGACTCCCGGTATAGGATAATTTAACAACACAAGGTAGGATTCTTCTCATATTTCTAATATTCACAGAATCAAGAAGACAATATCAGTAAGTGATAGTATCAGTGAAATTAAATTTGACCGTTTTGTGTTAGAGGCAAGGTCAGGTCAAGGTCATTATCTTTTTCCTTGACATTAAAAATAAAAAAATACTCTTGCCAATCATGTGATACCTACTTCTATTTCAAAAGTTTAAAGATTGTTCATTTTGCATAAAAACATATTACTATAATGGGTATATAGCATGATATTACCAAATTTACATAAATAATTTAACTTAACTGAATCTTGGCTAATCCGAATTTTCTCTGTTTTTCTTAATTTTTTTTAGGATATGTTAGTTATTTTCATATGCTTCCTATATTTAACTTTTTCTTATTTTCACAAATAATAAAGTAGTCTTATAAATGTACAAAATGATACAAAAAAACAAAAAGTTTTGATCGTTTACTAAGAGAGAAAAAATACGTTTTATGGTTTTTTGGCTCAAATCTGCACTTTGATAGGAAGCGTTTAAAAGCTAACAAAGTTCTAGTTTGATTGGAAAATCATATTTATTTGATATATTTTGAAAGTTTAAATCCCTTTTATTAATTTAACTTACATTTGAAAATTTTTCGAAGTCTTCGATTGTGTAAAAATTATAACTAAATTCATTGTTTTATTATAATTTTGAGAGGCAGAAAAGAAGATATTTTCATACGCTACCATTCCGCCAAAAATATAGTCCCTGCTAGTTTTCAAACGCAGTTTACCATTTCTATTCAAAGTTGTACAATTGTGATGAGGAAAGAAAAATATAGTCTTTTAAATTCCTTATACCTCAATATATTAGACATATAAGCAAATATACTTTGAATGTTTCATCTAGTCAGAAACCAGAGAAGAATCCTACCTTAAAGGTACTTGGACACAGATTTGAAGTTAATATTTTCTCATTTTTTTCTGTATAATATCAGGAATTATATATTTTAATAGCATTTCACACAAAAATTAATTAAAAATCTTATTTCGTTTAAAAGTTATCAAAACTTTAAATTTTTTTGCGGGTTTGATTGACACATCCTTGCACTTTCACAAATTTTAACTGTATTCTTAATCCTTAGGAAAAGTGGCAATTTTGATGTGTTTTAATGAGAAATATTAAAACTTTTATCAAGAAAAATAATTTTATTCAGAGTAGAAATGTTAGAAAGCAAAACACCTTCACAAGTATCGTCATTCCGAACTAAGACATGCGTGCAGAGTTTAGCAAATCGAACACACTCGTGTTATGTACATAGTTTTGGTAAACAGGGCTCGAGTTCTGTTATTGTTTATATTTAGAATTCACCGGGTGCGTTCAATCGTCACAGTCTGCTTACCACAACTGCACGGACTGACAATATATTGTGTGTATGTTTTGCTTTCCAACGTGTCTACTCTGAATTTTCTGGATTATAGCATTAATATTTTTCATTTATACAAAACTATATTGCAACTTTTCCTATTATTATTAAGAATAAAATTAAATTTGTGAGAGTGCAAGGATATGTCAATCAAACCCGCCGAAAAATTTGAAATTTCAATATCTTTTAAACGAAATAAGATTTTTAATTAATTTTTGTGTGAAATGCTATTAAAATATATAAGTCGTAATATTATAGAGAAAATAATAACTTCAAATCTGTGTCCAATTACCTTTAACTAAATGCTCCAGCCAAAATCGACAGAAATAGCTCAAGTTCATTTTAAGTATGAATTTCCTTCAAATTAGGTTTAGAATGGACTCGAAACATGGCAATATGGCAGTTTTATTCTTGAAAAATTGAAGTATATTTTTTAAATTTGTTTCACAAGATCCAAACTAAATCCAAGATTTACCTTTAAACTTCCCCCCTGATAGGATGAAGAACATCAGCTAAGATATGTAGCTTCTTATCAGCCAGGATCGGCCAAGAGAAAGGTTTGGTTTTTGTATTAAAACCAATTATAAGGTGAGCTGAATTGTGCCTTTGGTTTTTATTTCTATGCAAAATACCCCCCTTTACCCCTTTCTTATAACTAACATTTGCACTTTCAATGTAATTGTCTCTCTTTCTAACAAATTATTTTTGTGTGCATTTTTCATGTGTGTGTGTTTTTTTTTTTTTGGTTTGTTTTGTTTTTTGTTTTATATTCATTTTGACTTTACTAATCTTCTGCCAGTTTCTCTCTTTGACCAGGGCAGAGAGGAGTAAAGTACAGACACAGAAAGTGGCCGGCCACACAACAAATATAACGACATAACATGGATCTGAACACTGCATATCTACTATTACTTCAGGCAAACAAAAATCAAATGGGGTAAGACACTGTATTTGTCGTCATTTTTTGGAAAATTTTGATTTCTGAACTCTTTTGATTCAAATGATTCACTTGTTTTGATAACTTTCCACGTTTCACTCAATAGACAAAAAGCTTAGCAAAAATCATCCCCTCTGAATCAATCGGCTCAATGACTCTTCAAGCAGAAGGCCAAAAGAAAGCAACTTGGGAAGGAATTCGTCTGATCAACTACTGCCAACTTTAGATGATAGGTAAGATTCGATCTTCTTTTCTTGACACTTAGCTAATTTTAAATTGTGTTCAAATATGAGATAGGCAATGTCCCATTTGACTCCTAAACTTTCAATTGACAGACTGTGTGACAGCCCCCCCCCCCCCAAAGGGGGCCAAGAGATGTAGCCACTTAGCAACTAAGGATCATGGAAAAGGTTTGGTTTTTGTATTAAAACCAGATGTGAGGTGAGCTGAAATGTTTCTTTAGCTTGTATTTTTAAGCTCTTACTCTTTCTAACATTACTAACACATGCACTTTCCCTTTTCTTATCGTTTTTCTTTGTTATACATGTATGTATTTTAAGTATATTATTATTCTGTCTTGCTTTTAAAATATTTTGACTTGGATAATCTTGTATCAGTTTTTATCTTAGAGAAGGGCAGAGAGGAGTATAGGACATACATACAGACAGACAGTGGCGGGCTGCACAACAAATAGGAGAGCATTGCAAGAATCTGGATACAGAGTATCCACCATGACAACAAGCCAATTATAGTCAACTTGGTAAGAATCAAGTTGCTTTTGTTGATATGTTGGATTATGATTTCTGTGGAGAATGCTACTAGTATACATAAAAGATTTTTTAAAAATGTTTTAGGGAAATTTACTGCAATCAAAAGTGGGACAGATTTGGCAATGGGTTTTTAAAGAAAAGTTAGATCCTCCAGCAAAAATCGACAAAAATAGCTCAAGTCTAATTTATGCATGGATTCTCTAGCCCTTTGTTTTCAAACAGAGGTTTAGAATGAACTTGAAATATGGCGGTCTCATTCTTTAAAATATTGACATATTTTTTTAGTCAGAATCAAAGTTTCACCTTTAGACTTTCCATTGATAGGATGAAGAGCAACAGGATATGTGGACATTTAGCAGCCAGGAAAGGTTTGGTTTTTGTATTAAAATCCAGACATGAGGTGAGCTGAATTTTATCTTTGGCTTTTATTTCTCTGCAAAATACCCTCTTATTCCTTTTCTCATACATGTAACTAAATGTAACTAACATTTGCACTTTCCTTTTTGTAATCGTCCCTCTTTCTAACAAATCTATTTTTTGTATGCAATTCCATTTTTTCTTTGATTTTGTTTTGAATTCTATTGGACTTTACTAATCTTCTATCAGTTTTTCTCTTTGACAAGGACGAAGAAGAGTATAGTACAGACAGACAGACAGTGGCCGGCCACACAACAAAGAGGAAAATATATCTACTTCAGGCCAACAAAAGTCAAATATGGTAAAAAGAAAATGTATTTGTCGCCAATGTGGAATTTTTGATTTCTGAACTCACTTGATCCAATTGATTCTCTTGTTAGATCTCTTTCAAATGATTCACGTAACAGATTAAAAAGCTTAGCAAGAATCTACCCTCTTTATAGGTCGGCTCATTGACTTATCAAGCAAAAGACCATAAAGAAAGCAATTTGAGAAGGAATTTGTCAACTTTAGATGATAAGGTAAGGTTCGAGCTTTTTGTCACTTTCCTCATTTTTGACGTGTTCACATGAGCTAGACTGAGTTCTATTCGACCACCAAACTTTCAACTGACAGACTACATGATAGCAGCCCCCCTCCACACGAAAAGGGCAAGACATGAAGCCACTTTCCAACTAAGGACCATCGAAAAGGTTTGGTTTTTGTATCAAAACCAGATATAAGGTGAGCTGAATTGCTTTTTAGCTTGTATTTCTAAGCCATACTCCAATCTAACATTACTAATACATGCACATTTTGTTATTGTCTTTGTTAATATGTATTTTAAATATATTATTATTCTGTCTTATTAAAAAGCATGTTGGACTTAAATAATCTTGTATCAGTTTCCATTTTTGATAAGGATGGAAATGGTAAGGACAGACAAACAGACCGACAGTGGTCGAGCGCACAGCAAAGGGGAGAGCATTGCAAGGATCCGGAATCAGAGTATCCACTATGACATCAAGCCAACAATAGCCAATTTGGTAAGAAACAAGCTGCCTTTGTTACAATTTTGGATTATGATTTCTGTTGAAAATGCGATGAGAATTACACATAAAGTTCATAAAAATGTTTTAAGGGAAATTTACTGCAATCAAAAGTGGGACAGACGTTCAGATCCAAGAATTTATCTTGAAAGTACCAAAGGTTTCATTGTTATGCAAAACAGGTTGATTTAACAACTTAACAAAATACTCTAGCAAAAATCGGCAAAAATAGCTTAAGTTCAATTTATGTATGAATTCCCTTTGCACTTTTGTTTTCAAACTTCTAGAATGAACTAAAACTATGGTGTCATGGGGGGTTTATTCTTGAAATTTTGACATATATTTTTTAATTGTTGTTTCACAAGATATAGCATGAATCCAAGTTTTACCTTTAGACTTTCCACTGATAGAATGAAGAGAAGCTGGATATGTTGCCACTCAGCAGCCAGGATCGACCAAGGGAGAGGTTTGGTTTTTGTATTAAAATCCAGATATCAGGTGAGCTGAATTATTTCTTTAGCTTGTATTTATGTGCAAAATACCCTTCATTCCCCTTTCCTGTTACTAACATTTGCACTTTCCCTTTGTAATTGTCTCTCTTTCTAACTATTTCTTTGTTATATGCATTTTACATGTGTTTTTTTTCGTTTCTTGTGTTTGATTCTTTTTGACTTGACTAATCTTCTATCAGTTTGTCTCTTTGACAAGGGCAGAGAGGAGTATAGGACAGACAAACAGTGGCCGGCCACACAACAAAGAGGATACAACAAGGATCTGAACATAGAATGTTCAATATTACTCCAGGCAAAAAAAGTCAAATTTGGTAAGAAGTTGCATTTGTCGCCATTGTGGAATTTTTGATTTCTGAACTCACTTGATGCAAATGGTTCAATTTTCTGATCTCTTTCCATGTTTTAACAGTCAGCCATTATGTGAAGGTCTGCTCAATGACTTATCAACGGTAAAGGAGGAAAAATTGAGTAGAAGTTTGTCCAATTAACCACTAAGAACTTTGAATGATATAGTAAGATTCGGGTTCTTTTTCTTGAAACTTTGCTAATTTTTCACTTGCGTTCACTTGAGCTAGAGTCCTTTGTTGACCTCTAAATTTAAATTGACAGGTGTATAGCAACAGGTCCCACCGGAAGCATGAAGACGTAGCCAATTAGCAACCAAGTACCACAGAAAAGGTTTGGTTTTCGTAATAAAAACCTGACATAAGGTGAGCTGAATTGTTTCTTTAGCTTTTATTTCTATGCAAAATACCCCTTTCCCCCTTTCCTATTGCTAACTAATATTTGCACATTCCCTTTGTAATTGTCTCTCTTTCTAATAAATTATTTTTTGTATGCATTTTTCATGTGTTTTTGTTTAGTTTCTTGTATGTAAATCTTTTTGACTTTACTAATCTTTTATAAGTTTTTCTCTTTGACAAGGACAGGAAGGAATATAGTACAGACAGACAAACAGTGGCCGGCTGCACAACAAAGAGCAGGACATAAGTATGATCTGAACACATATTTCAGGCCAACAAAAGTCAAATGTGGTAAGAAACTGCATTTGTTGTCGTTGTGGAATTTTTTAATTTCTGATTTCACTTGATACCAATGATTCAGTTGTCTGATCTTTTTCCATGTTATTGCAATATAGCTTAGCAAGAATCAGCCCTTCTGTGTAGCTTGACTGACTCAAAGACTTTTCAATGAAAACACCAAAAGTAAGCACCATCAAGTAGGAGTTTGTCCGATCAACTACTGCCAACTGTGGAAAATTCAGTAAGATTCGTTCTTTAAAAATTCATTTTCTTTAAATTTGGGTTACTAATCAATTGTGTTCACACGAGCTTGACTGAGTCCCATGTTGACCTCTAAACTTTCAATTGACAGGCCGGAAGCAGCAAGAAGCCAACCCAGGACCACAGAAAAGGTTTGGTTTTTGTATTAAAAACCATATATTAGGTGAGTTGAATCGTTTCTTTAGCATGTATTTCCAAGCCCTACCTCTTTCTAACATAACTAACACATGCACATTCCCTTTCTTATGATTGTCTTTATTAGCGTGTACATGTATTCTAAATATTCTGTCTTGTTTTTAAAATTCTTTTTGGACATGAATAATAAGGTATCAGTTTCTAACTTTGAGAAGGGCATAGAGGAGTATACGACTCAGACAGACAGTGGCTAGTAACAAATAGGAGAGCATTGCAAGAATCCAGAAACAGAGAATCGACCATGACAACAGGCCAACAATAGTCAACTTGGTAAGACACAACTGCATTATGCAGTTTTGGATTTTTTGTTCTCTGTTTTCACTTCAACCCAATTGTGAACTTGCTTGATCTCTTTCTATTTTTCAATCAACAGACGGAAAGCTTGGCAAGAATCAGTCCCACTTTGGAGGTCGTCTGGATGACACTTCAGTGAGATCACCAAGAGTAAGGATGGACAACAGTCCTAACATGGAATTCAGGGTAAAAGACAAACTTCTCATTGTGAAATTTTCTTCTCTCCTTTTTTGAGAAAAGTTTTTACAGTTTTCCTTTTTATTGACTTTCATTTTCTTTATTAAAATAAAAAAATAGATTTCCTCCATCATCCTTTATTGACTTTCATTCAATTAATTTTAGTGAAAAATAGACTTGCCTCCATTCTCCAGTTTGAGAGCAATCGAGTCATCCAATGGAGAGTCCTGTACACTGCGGACCAAGTCTACAGATAAGGTTGGGAAAATAAAGTCATACCTCCTTGCTCTGCATTCTATTTCTGGATTCATGTTGCATTTGATCAACTGAATTTAAGAAAACATTGCTCTTTGACATCTTTATCAGAGGGCATATAACTATCATGGATCAACATTGAATAGGAATTTGCTGAATCAACAACTGCCAACTTTGGATGATGAGGTAAGATAAAGGCTCTTTTTACGAGACATTTTAATTATTTATAAATTGTGTTCACTTGAGCAAGACTGAGTCCCATTGAAACCTTAATTTTTTTTAACTGACAGGCTGTGTGATGGCAGGTCCTTCCAGACACAGTAAGCCAGGCCATGAAGCCACTTAGCAACCAAGGACCATGGATAAGGTTTGGTTTTTGTATTAAAAACCAGATATGAGGTGAGCTGAATTGTTTAAGCTTGTATTTTTAAGCTCTGTCGCTTTATAACATAACTAACACATGCACTTTTCCTTTGTTATTGTCTTTCTTAGTTAGTGTATACGTTAAATGTATTATTTTTTTGGCTTGAATAATCTTGTATCAGTTTCTATGGTTGAGAAAGGTGGAGAGGAGTAAACGACAGACAGACATTGACCAGCCGCACAGCAAAGGGGAGAGCATTGCAAGGATCCGGATGCAGAGTACATGTATACACTATGACAACAGGCCAACAATAGACAAATTGGTAAGAAGCTGTTGTATTGTTACTTAGTAAAAAAAACTTCTCCCTGTGATATTTTGAGAAAATCTTTACTTTTTTCCTTTTTATTGACTCATTTAATTTTTAATGAAAAGTAGATTTGCCTCCATCCTCCTGTTTGTGAGAAATCCGGTCGTCGAAAGGAGAGTCCAGTACACAGCGGCAATTTCTACAGGTAAGTTTGAGAAGATTAAGTTATACATCCTTGCATTTCTATCTCTTTCTGGAATTATGTTACATTTGCTAAACTGTAAGAAAGTTAGCTCTTTGACACCGGATTTTTCCTTTATTAGAATGGGATTAAGACATCATGGAGCAACATTGAATAGGAAATAGCCGAATCAACAACGACCAACTTTGGATGATGACACGGTGAGATGCAGACTCTTTCTCTTAACATTTTGATTATTTCAATATTGTTTTCAACTATGTAAACTGAGTCCATTTTGACCTCTTATACTTTTTATATGACAGAATGTATGACAGCAGATCCCCCCAAAAGCAGCAAGACACGAAGCCACTTAGAAATCAAAGACCACAGAAAAAGGTTTGGTTTTAGTATTAATCCAGATATGAGGTGAGTTGAATTGTTTCTTTAGGTTGTATTTCTATAATCTATACCCTTCTTTCATTTCTAACAATGCTAACGCTTCACATTCTCTTTGTAATTGTCTCTCTTTGTTAACATTTATTCATATGTTGTTTATTTTGTCATTTTTGTATTTTCTTTGAGGGTTTCACTAACCTTGTTTCAGTTTCTATCTTAAATAAGGGCAGAGAAGCGTAAAAGACAGACATGGGCCAACCAAAAAAAATAGAGAAGATCATTGCAAGAATCTTGATATGGATTTGTGCTAAGACACCAGGTCAACAATAACCTAGTGGTAAGAAACAAGCTGCATTTGTTGCAATTTTGGATTTTTTGTTCGCTGTTCTCACTTGATGCAAATAATGCACTTGTTTTTTCTATTTTCCAATCAACGTAAAGAAGCTTGGCAAAAATCAGTCCCGCTGTATGAGTCAACTGGATGACTCTTCAATGCGAGCAAGAGTAAGGATGGACAACAGTCCTAACTTGGAATTGAGGGTAGGAGACAGACTTCTCCTTGTGAAATTTTCTCTTTTAATTATTTGACAAAGTCTTTTTTATTGACTTTCATTTATTTTTTTGTAAATGTAAAATAGAATTGCCTCTATCCTTCTGCTTGGAAGCAATCTGGACATCAAAGAGAGAGTCCAGACCACCGCGGCCAATTCTACAGGTAAGCTTGAGAAGATAAAATTATACATCCTTGCCCTTCTTTTCCTTTATGAATTTATGTTACATTTGATCAATTGAAGGAAACATAGCTCTTTGACATCTGTTTTTTTCTTTATCAGAAGAGGATTTAGTTATCACGGAGCAATATTGAATAGGAGTTTGCCGAACCAACAACTGCCAACTTTGGACGATGCGGTAAGATTGAGGCTTTGTTACGTTACATTTTAATTATTTATAGATTAAGTTCACTTAAGCTAGACTGAGTCCCATTTGACTTATTATTTGACAGGATGTATGACAGCAAGCCCCCCCCCCCCACACACACAAAGATAGCAACATGTAGCCAATAATTAAGCAACCATGAACCACAGAAAAAGGTTTGGTTTTTGTCACCTCAACGAAGTTGGGGGAGCTGAATATGGTGTCGGCGTCGGCTCGGTGTCGGTGTCGGCGTCCCTTTTAAGTTTTTTGGAGCAGTTTTCTTTTTAAGTACTTCTATGTCCTATATTGATTAGACATGCATGGAAGATGCTTCTAGTGTGTTTCATTGTACCAGTCAAAGTTTCAGATGCTGCAATTTCAGCAGAGGAATGACCAGGTTAATGTTTTTGGAGCAGGTTAACATTTTTGGTGCACTATTTGGTGTAGGTCTCATTTCCAAGGAACTATAAGCCCTATGTTGACCAAACTTGCATGGATGGTACATTTAAGGATGCATTTGTTCTCTATTCTCAAGCTTGCTTCATGCTGAAACTGACCTACATTTTCCGGTTTCAGTGAACAGGTTAAATTTTTGGTGCAGGTCTCATTTCCAAGTAACTATTAGCACTTTTATGACCAAACTTGCATGGATGATACATCTACGGATGCATACTACCAGGTTTGCATCGGATGCTGAATCTGACCTACATTTTCAGGTTGAGTGAACAGGTGAAAGTTTTTGGTGCAGGTTTAATTTCCAAGTCACTATAAGCCCTGTGTTGACCAAACTTGCATGGATGATACATCTAAGGATGCATACTACCTGGCTTGCTTCGGATGCTGAATCTGACCTACATTTTCTGGGTGAGTGAACAGGTTAAAGTTTTTGGTGCAGATTTCATTTCCAAGTAACTATAAACCCTATGTTGACGAAACTTGCAAGGATGATACATCTAAGGATGCACACTACCAGGCTTGCTTCGGATGCTGAATCTGACCTACATTTTCCGGTTAACTGAATAGGTTAAAGTTTTTGGTGCAGGTTTAATTTCCAAGTAACTATAAGCCCTGTGTTGACCAAACTTGCATGGATGATACATTGTCTCTTTGGATGCATACTACCTGGCTTGCTTCGGATTTTGAATATATATTTATAAATTGTTCCGGTTGAGTAAACAGGTTAAAGTTTTTTGGTGCAGGTCTCATTTCTAAGATACTATGAGCCCTATAATGACTTAACTTGCATGGATGATACATCTAAATATGCATACTACCAGGCTTGCTTCGGATGCTGAATCTGACCTACGTTTTCTGGTTGAGTGAACAGGTTAAAGTTTTTGGTGCATGATTCGTTTCCAAGTACATGTAACTATGAGTTCTTTAATGATCAAACTTGCATGGAGGATACATCTTAGGTTGCACTCTAATGGACTTGCTTCGGATGCTGAATTCGACATTTATTTTTCAGATAATGGACCAGGTAAAAGTTATGGGTGCAGGTCTATTACCAAAAAGCTATAAGGCTTATATAACATTGTATAAACCAAACTTGCACAAATGGTGCATCAAGGGACAAAAACTATCAAATTTGCTTCAGATGCTGGATTTTAATTACATATTCATGAAGAACTAGTTTGAATTTTTATATAGGTCTATTTCAAAGTATCAGATCAAAATTGCATGAATATTTTCATTTTTGGATGTACACTTTTTGTTGTGTGACTTTGCCTTACTTAAAGACAACATTCGTTGAGGTGAGCTCTGTAATCTCTGATTACCTATGGTTGTATTAAAAACCGAACATGAGGTGAGCTGAAATGTTTCTTAAGCTTTTATTTCCAAGACTTATCCTCTTTCTAACCTTACTAACACACGCACTTTCCCTATGTAATTGTCTTTCTTTGTTGATATGTACTAGTATTTTAAGTATTTTATTCTGTTGTGTATTTAAAAATCCTTTTGGACTTGAATAATCTTGTATCAGTTTCTATCTTTGAGATGGGCGTAAAGAAGTATAAGACAGACAGTGGCCAGTAGCACAACAAATAGGAGAGCATTGCAAGAATCCAGATACAGAGTATCTACTATGACCACAGGCCAACAATAGTCAACTTGGTAAGACACAACTGCATTGTTGCAATTTTGGATTTTTTTGTTCTCTATTCTCACATGATTCCAATAGTTCACTGGTATGATCTCTTTCTATTTTTTTCAATCAACAGACAAAAACTTGCAAAGAATCATTCTTTTTGTGGAGGTCGACTGGATGACTCCTCAACTAGAGCACCAAGAGTAATGATGGACAACAGTCCTAACGTGAAATTGACAGTAAGAGACAAACTTCTCTTTCTGAAATTTTCTCAGAGTTTAAAAAAGCCTTTGTATTGACTTTCATTTAATTTTTTAATCAAAAATAGAGTTGCCTCCATTCTCCTGTTAGAGAGCAATCTGGTATCAAAAGGAGAGCCCAGCACACCGCTGCCAATTCTAATGGTACTACAGTGTCTAATCCGACACCTGAATAATCCGACCACTGTGAATTCCGACGTTAAACTTCTTTCCCATTTTACTATTTTTCATGATTTTAACACGGTGCAATTCGACATCCTGTCTATTCCGATACAAAATGTGTCTCCCAGTGCATGTCAAATTAGACAGGTTTCACTGTTGTAAGTTATGCCTCCTTACTTCTTTATCTCTTTCTGGATTTATGTTACATTTGATCAGCTTTTTTTCTTTATCAGAAGGAGACATGACTATCTTGGAGCAACATTAAATAGGAGTTTGCCGAATCAAAAACTGTCATCTTTGGATGATGCGGTAAGATGCAGGCTCTTTTTATTATTTACAAATTGTGTTCACATGACATAGATTGAGTCCCATTTGACCCTTACACTTATTAATTGACAGCTTGTATGACAGTAGGACCCACCAGAAGCAGCAAGATACGAAGCCACTTTGCAACCAAGGACCACAGAAAAGGTTTGGTTTTTGTATTATAAACCAGATATGAGGTGAGATGAATTGTTTCTTTAGCTTGTATTTCTATAATCTATACTCTTCTTTCATTTCTATACATTCTCTTTGTAATTGTCCCTATTTGTTAACATTTATTTCATATATTTTGAATTTTTTCATTTTTGTACTTTGTTTGAGGGTTTCACCAACCTTGTTTCAGTTTCTATCTTTGATAAGGGTATGGAAGCGTAAAAGACAGACATGGGCCAATAAAACAAATAAAAAAAGACCATTGCAATGATCTAGGTATGAATTTGTACTATGACACCAGGCCCCAGGATCATGAAGCATCTTAAGCTTAAGTCAAAATCTTCATGTTGTACTTGAGTGTTGTGGAAGTCAAGCAAATCAAAATTAAAATAAGTACAATATTGATTCTCAAAAGTGCCGTTATTTGCAAATTTTGAGATTAATTCAGTGTAATTAATCAACATTTTACAGACGTTTGAAAAATTGACTGAAGTCTAAGTCTTCTTCATGATCCTGGGGCCAGGCAAACAATAGCCAATGTGACAAGAAACAAGCTGCATTTGTTGCATTTTTTATTTCTGTTTTTACTCGATCCAAATTGTGCACTTGTCTGATCTCTTTTTAATTTTCAATCATTTTTCAATTAACAGACGAAAAGCTTGGCAATAATCATTCTCACTGTTGAGGTCGTCTGACTGACTCTTCAGTTAGAGCACAAAGAGGATGGACAACAGTCCTAACATGGAATTGAGGGTAAGAGGCTCCTAGTAACTCCTTTAGTTATTCAATAAAGTCTTGACATTTTTTCCCATTTATTGACTTTGATTTAATGTAAAATGCGTTATTTTACGTGACAGTTCGATTATTTTTGAATTGTATTCACATGAACTAGACTGAGTCTCATTTGACCCCTAAGCTTTCAATTGACAGGCTGTATGACAGCAGGTTCCACCAGAGGCAGCAACACGAAGCCAATGAGCAACCAAGGACCACGGAAAAGGTGTAGTTTTTGTGTTAAAAGTCATATATGAGGTGAGCTAAATTTTTTCTTTAGCTTGTATTTCTATGCCCTATTTCTTTCTTATATTACCATCACATGAACTCTCCCTTTGTAATTGCCTTTCTTTATTAATATGTATTTTAAATATATCATTATTCTGTGCAGTTTAAAAAATTCTTTTTGGACTTGAATAATCTTGTATCAGTTTCTATCTTTGAGAATGGCGGAGAGGAGTATAGCCCAGGCAGACATTGGCTGGCCGCACATCAAGTAGGAAAGCATTGCAAGAATCTGGATACAGAGTATCCACTACAAGACAACAGGTCAACAATGGCAAACTTGGTAAGAAACAAGCTACATTTGTTGTAATGTTGAATTTTTTTAGCTCACCTCAACGAAGTTGGGGGAGCTTATGTAATACCCTCGGCGTCGGCGTCGGTGTCGGCGTTCCAGGTTAAGGTTAAGTTTTTTGGAGCAGTTTTCTTTTTAAGTACTTCTATGTCCTATATTGATTAGACATGCACGGAAGATACTTCTAGAGTGTTTCATTGTACCAGTCAAAGTTTCAGATGCTGCAATTTCAGCAAAGGAATGACCAGGTTAATGGTTTTGGAGCAGGTTAACATTTTTGGTGCAGTTTTTGGTGTAGGTCTATAATTTCCAAGGAACTATAAACCCTATGTTGACCAAACTTGCCTGGATGATACATCTAAGGATGTACACTACAAGACTTGCTATTGATGCTGAATCTGACCTACATTTTCCGGTTGAGTGAACAGATTAGAGGTTTTGGTGCAGGTTTCATTTCCAAGATACTATGAGTCCTATAATGACCAAACATGCATGGATGGTACAACTTAAGATGCATACTACTAGACGTGCTTTGGATGCAGAATCTGGTCTACATTTTCCGGATGAGTGAACAGGTTAAAGTTTTTGGTGCAGGTTTCATTTCCAAGTTACAATGAGCCCTATAATGACTTATCTTGCTTGGATGATACATCTTAGGATGCATACTTCGGATGCTGAATCTGACCTAGCTGCAGATCTGTAGCGATATGGTTTTTTATATTTGTCTTTGACCATAACGCTATAGATCCCGTAGTGCAAAAGAGGTGCAATTTACGGCGGAATATTTTTTGCACTCTTTTGGGGAGAATTTCTCCACTTTCCAGCATTGTTCAATCAACTACCTTTCAACTCCTAATTCTAGACACATTATTTAACTAAACCGTATATTTTATCTATCTCCCAACCTTTTATAGTTCTCTCTACAAGTGATAAACTCGCTTGATTAAAATTATTTGTTAGATTACTGAAAATTCACTTCCAGCGAGTTTATTGCCTGTAGAGACAACTATAAATGGTTGGGAGGTGGATAAACTATACATACTGGCTACAGAACATGTCTAGAATTAGGTAGTGAAAGGTAGTTGATTGACCAATGCTGAAAAGTGGAGAAATTCTCCCCAAAAGGGCGCAAAAAATATTGCGCCGTAAATTGCACCTTTTTTGCACTACGGGATCTGTAGCGTTATGGTCAAAGACAAATATATAAAACCATAACGCTACTGATCTGCAGCTAAATCTGACCTACATTTTCTGGATGAATGAACAGGTTAAAATATTTGATGCAGGATTCATTTCCAAGTAACTATGAGCTCTTTAATGACCAAATTTGCGTGGATGATACATTTAAGGTTGCATTCTACCAGGCTGGCTTCGGATGCTGAATCTGACCTACATTTTTGGGGGGGATTAGTGAAGAGGTTAAATTTTTATGCAAGTTTCATTTCTACGTAACTATTAGCCCTAAGTTGTGCAAACTCGCATGAATGATGCTCAGGATGCTGAATTCAACATACATTTTCCAGATAATGGACCAGGTAAAAGTTATGGGTGAAGTTCTATTACCAAGAAACTATAAGGCTTATATAAACCAAACTTGCCCAAATGATGCATCAAGGGATGAAAACTCAAACTTGCTTCAGATGCTGGATTTTAATCACATTGTTGTGATGAAAAATTAGTTTGAAGTTTTTATATAGGTCTATTCCAAAGTATCAGATCAAAATTGCATAAATTTTGCATTTTTTAATATACACTTTTTTGTTGGGTAATTGTGTGACTTTGCCTTACTTAAAGACAACATTCGTTGAGGTGAGCCCTGTAATCTCTGACTACCTATGTTTGTTTTTTTTTTGTTCTCACTTGATTCAAATGCTGCACTTGTTTGATCTCTGTCTATGTTTCAACCAACTAGCAAAAAGCTTGACCCACTGTGGAGGTTAACTCGATGCATATGACTCGTCAATCGGATTGTCAAGTGTAAGTATGGACAACACTTTTAACATGAAATTGAGGGTAAGACATAAAATTCCCCATTTTTGACAATTTCTCCCTTTGCAATTTGATGTAGTCTTGGCATTTTCCCCTTTTATTGACTTCATTTTATCATTTTATTTGGATGTAAAATAGAATTGCCTCAATCCGTCCATCCAAGAGCAGTCTGTTCATCAAAAGAAGAGTCGAGAGCACTTTGACAAATTCTTCAGGTAAGTTTGCGAGAATGAAAAAGATATCTTCTTGCTCTGCTCACTCTTTCTTGAATTACGCTACTTTTGCTCAACTGAAAGAGACTTGACACTTTTACTATTTTTTGTTAGTAGAAGAGGACTTGGCTAGCTTGGAGGAACAATGAATAAAAGTCTGTCGAATCAATAACTGCAAACTTTGGATGATGCGGTAAGATATTTTCTTTCTCTTGACATTTTTGGAATTAATGAGCTGCGTTCACATGAGGAATATTGAGTCCAATTTTGACCTCTGAACTTTTGACAGGCTAAATGATGACAGCAGACCCCCACCGGAAGCAGCAAGACATATAGCTACTAAGCAAAGAGGAATCACTTAAAAGGTTTAGTTTTTGTCTTAAAAACCAGACAAGAGGCGAAGTAATTGTTTCTTAGCCTATTTTCCCTATTTTTTTTCTTTTGGCACATTTCTCAATTTTTTGTTAACTTAACTAATCTTGTATTAGATTCTGTCTTTGAAATGGAAAGATTGGAGGATAGAACAGACAGATGGTTGTTGCACAAATAAAAAAGAGGAGAACATGTTCCAAGGATCCAAATACAGAGTATTCACTATGAAAACAGATAAGAATAGGAAAAGTGGTAAGAAACACACTGAACTTGTTGCAATTTGGGATATTTGCTTTCTGTCCTTATTTGTTCTGAGTGGTGCACCTGTTAGACCTCTTTCTATGTTTAATTTAACAGATGTACAGTTTGGCAGGAATCAGTCTGTGGATGCATGTTGACTTGATAACTCTCTACCAGATTGTACAGTGTAAGGATGGAGAGAAGTCATTAACATGGAATTCAGGGTAAGACACAAACTTCTCCCTTGTGATATTTTAATTCCCTTTGCCATTTTATAAAATATTTGCTATTTTTATGGTTGACTTCCATTCTATTTTTTATTTAGAGATAGAACAATTTCCCTATTTCCTATATGAGAGCAGTCTGTTTGCCAAAGAAGAGTTCAGTTAACTGAGTTCAATCCTACACAACGGGTAAGAAGATATAGTTTTACATCCTATACCTCTGCATGCTCTGTTTCTCTGCTCAACTGAAAGAGACTTAATACATTTATCCCCCTTTTTTATCACTTGGCAGATGCAGCTAGCATACCGTATATACTCGCCTATAAGTCGGTATTTTGGGAGTTTAATTTTTGTCCAAAGCTCTATGTCCGACTTATAGGCGAGTCATAAAAAACTGGTAATTTTCTGGATGGCGAATCGTATTCTATAAACATTTTTAACAGCTACTGTATCGTTGAACAAAGTATGGATATATTATATCATTTATATATTATAAGATAATGCATAAATTACATGTATCTTATATACATGTATTTAATCATTTCATTTTTTTCATAATTGAAAGTTATATATCGACCGCATTTCTAAAAATATTATAAAAACAGGGTAAAACATCATAGCATTTATTAGACAATGTCATCTGATTCTGGCAAAAAGTTGTACCGACTTATAAGCGGGTCAATAGCAAATCCCTGCCAAATAACCTCAAAAAATACAACCGACTTATAGGCGGACCGGCTTTTAGGCGAGTATATACGGCAAATCAACATTTAGTTAGAGTTTCCCCAATCAACGACAACCACTTTCGAATGATGTGGTAAGATTTAAGCCCCTCATATTGCACACTCTTTTATTGTCCCCCGCTTGAAAAGTGGGGGATATTAATTTGGGTTTGTCCGTCCGTTCGTCTGTCCGTCCGTCCGTCTTTCTGTCTGTCTGTAACGCTTTCGTTTCCACACGATATCTCGAGAACTCTTTGACTTTTTGCAATGAAATTTAGCATAGCAACTTCCTATGGACTAAAGAAGAACCCTATTGATTTTGAGGTCAAAAGGTCAAAGGTCAAGGTCATAAATAAGCAAATTCTGTCTGTTATAATACTTTCGTTTCCACACGATATCTCAAGAACCATTTGAGCTATTGCAATGAAATTTTACATAACAACTCCCTGTGGCCTAATAAAGAGGTCAAAAGGTCAAATTTCAAGGTCGTAAATTTACACATTCTGTGTGTAACACTATCATTTCCGGGCGATATTTCAAGAAAATTTTGAGCTTATTCAATGTAATTTTATGCCAAAACTCCCTAGGACCTCTCTCACCCCTCTCAAAGTGCCCCGCTCCGTTTGTTTTATTAGTATTTATAGTAGTACATGTCGCTATTTTTAGCACAGGGGCATGAGGAGAGTTATTGCGTATAAACAGGTTCTCGGCGGACTTTATGTTCTTATTACATCTATTTAGAACTGTTTAATAAAGGCTAAATAAATGAAACACCATGGATTGTGTAAAATTTTGACAATACCGAATATGAATATTAACATGTATGTGACTTCACTTCTGCATATACTTGACACCATGTAAAGCGATTCCGTGGTCTAGTGGTATGTTTCTCGCTACCAAAGTGAGAGGTCCCGAGTTCAAGTCCCGGACCGACAACTTTTTTTTTGAAATAGTTTTTTTTAACTAAATAATACTAATCAGCACGCGAAATGAAAAATTTACGAGGTCTGGCTTGTACAAACTCATAAAATCATCATTACAGTGTGATAAATATTCCACATAAAAAGAATCTTCTATACACATAATAAAGAATAAGCAATTAAATCTTTATATCCATAATGGTATATTTTATTTGCTTCAGTATACATGCATGTATACATTTAATAATTCTACAAATTCAGTGAGGGGGATCCAACTCTCCCCCCCCCCTCCCTCCCCCCGAGCTGTGCATGTTTTACTTTTTCCTTAAGCGGGGGACACAAATTCTCTGAATTAGCTTGTTTGCTTAAGAACAGAGTGAGACCCATTTTGACCTCTAACCTTTCCATTGATAGGATGTAGAGCAGTAGGGCCCTTCGAAAACAACAGGATTTATAGTAACTTACCAACCAAGGACCAAGGATAAGGTTTAGTTTTTAGCTCACCTCAACGAAGTTGGGGGGAGCTTATGTGATACCCTCGGCGTCGGCGTCGGTGTCGGCGTCCCGGGTTAAGGTTAAGTTTTTTGGAGCAGTTTTCTTTTTTTAAGTACTTCTGTGTCCTATATTGATTAGAAATGCATGGAAGATGTTTCTAATGTGTTTCATTGTACCAGTCAAAGTTTCAGATGCTGCAATTTCAGCAAAGGAATGACCAAGTTAATGTTTTTGGTGCAGGTTAACATTTTTGGTGCAGTTTTTGGTGTAGGTCTCATTTCCGAGTAACTATAAGCCCTATGTTGACCAAACTTACATGGATGGTACTCTTAGGATGCATACTACCAGACTTGCTTCAGATGCTGAATCTGACCTGCATTTTCCGGTTGAGTGAACAGGTTAAAGTTTTTGGTGCAGGTTTCATTTCGAAGATACTATGAGGCCTATAATGACCAAACTTGCATGGATGGTACATCTTAGGATGCATTCTACTAGACTTGCTTCGAATGCTGAATCTGACCTACATTTTCCGGTTGAGTGAACAGGTTAAAGTTTTTGGTGCAGGTTTCATTTCCAAGTTTCTATGAGACATATAATGACCAAACTTGTATGGATGGTACATCTTAGGATGCATACTACCAGTCTTGCTTCGGATGCTGAATCTGACCTACATTTTCCGTTTGAGTGAACAGGTTAAAGTTTTTGGTGCAGGTTTCATTTCCAAGTTACTATAAGACATATAATGACCAAACTTGCATGGATGGTACATCTTAGGATGCATATTACAAGACTTGCTTCGGATGCTGAATCTAACCTACATTTTCCGGTTGAGTGAACAGGTTAAAATTTTTGGTGCAGGTTTCATTTCCAAGGTAGTATGAACCCTTTAATGACTAAACTTGCCTGGATGGTACATCTTAGGATGCATACTACCAGACTTGCTTCAGATGCTGAATCTGACCTACATTTTCTGGATGAGTAAACAGGTTAAAGTTTATGGTGCAGGATTCATTTCCAAGTAACTTTGAGCCCTATAATGACCAAACTTGCATGGATGGTACATCTAAGGGTGCATTCTACTAGGCTGGCTTCAGAAGCTGAATCTGACCTACATTTTCCGGATTAGTGAAAAGGTTAGTTTTTTTATACAGGTTTCATTTCCAAGTAACTTTGAGCTCTATGTTGAACAAACTTGCATGGATGATACATCTTAGGATGCACACTAATGGACTTGCTTCAGATGCTGAATTTGACATACATTTTCCAGATAATAGACCTCGTAAAAGTTATGGGTGCAGGTCTATCACCAAGAAACTATAAGGCTTATATAAACCAAAGTTGCACAAATGATGCATCAAGGGATGAAAACTCTCAATCTTGCTTCAGATGCTGGATTTTAATTACATTTTCATGATGAAGAACTAGTTTTAAGTTTTTATATAGGTCTATTCCAAAGTATCAAAATTGCATAAAGTTTGCATTTTTGGATGTACACATTTTGTTGGTTAATTGTGTGACTTAATTTGCCTTACTTAAAGACAACATTCGTTGAGGTGAGCTCTGTAATCTCTGATTACCTATGTTTATCTTAAAAAGCAGACAAGAGGTGAGTTAATTATTTTCTTGGCCTGTATTTCTGTTTCTATTTTTTCTTTTGGCGCATTTTTCAATTATTTTTTGACATAACTAATCTTGTATTAGTTTCTATCTTTGAAAGGGAAAGAGGGGAGCATAGAAAAATTGAATGGTGGCCTGCCTCACAAAGAAGAGGAGAATATAATGCAACGATCCGAATACAGAGTATCCACTATGAAAACAGATATAAACAGCAAAAGTGGTAAAAGACACACTGAATTTGTTGCAATTTGGGATTTTTTTTCTGTTCTCACTTGATCTGAGTGGTACATTCATTTGCTCTTTATGTTTAATTTAACAGATGTACAGTTTTGGTCTGTGGATGTTGACTTCATAACTCTCTACCAGATTGTACAGTGAAAGGATGGAGAGAAGTAGTTGACATGGAATTCAGGGTAAGACACCAACTTCTCCCTTGTGATATTTTATTTCCCTTTGCCATTTTATGAAATATTTGCTTTTTTTGTTGTTGACTTCCATTCTATTTTTATACCCCCCGCAAACGAAGTTTGGGGGGGTATATGGGAATCACCTTGTCCGTCTGTCTGTCTGTCCGTCTGTCTGTCTGTCCGTCTGTCCGTCTGTCTGTGCAATCGTGTCCGGTCCATATCTTTCTTACAGAGGGACATTAGAATCTACTTCTCCACACTAAGATTGCTCATAACCTAAGGGTGTGTCATGACCTTGACGCAAGGTCATTTGGGGAAGTTCAAGGTCACTGGAAGAAAAATTTCATAATTCGTGTCCGGTTTTATATCTTTCTTATGGATAAACTTGGTAGGTTCTCATTTCACACAAAGATTGACCATGACCCAAGGGTGTGTCATGACCTTGACCCAAGGTCATTTGGGGAAGTTCAAGGTCACTGGGAGAAAAATTTCAAAATTCATGTTTGACACATATCTTTTATGGATAAACTTGGTAGGTTCTCATTTCACACAAAGATTGCCCATGACCCAAGGGTGTGTCATGACTTTGACCCAAGGTCATTTGGGGAAGTTCAAGGTCACTGGAAGAAAAATTCCATATTTCGTGTCCGGTCCATATCTTCCTTATGGATAAACTTTGTAGGTTTTCATTTCACATAAAGATTGCCCATGACCCAAGGGTGTGTCATGACCTTGACCCAAGATCATTTGGAGAAGTTCAAGGTCACTGGTAGAAAAATTTAATAATTCGTGTCCGGTCCATATCTTTCTTAAGGATAAACTTGGTAGGTTTTCATTTCACACAAAGATTGCCCATGACCCAAGGGTGTGTCATGACCTTGACCCAAGGTCATGTGGGGAAGTTCAAGGTAACTGGAAGAAAAATTTAATAATTCGTGTCCGGTCCATATCTTTCTCATGAATAAACTTGGGTAGGTTCTCATTTCACACAAAGATTGCCCATGACCCAAGGGTGTGTCATGACCTTGACCCAAGGTCATTTGGGGAAGTTCAAGGTCACTGGAAGAAAAATTTTATAATTCGTGTCTGATACATATCTTTATTATGCAAAAACTTACTTCTGAAAAACCCAGCGGGGGGTATTTTGTCCTGATTGGACAGTTCTAGTTTATTTAGAGATAGAACAATTTCCCTATTTCCTATATGAGAGCAGTCTGTTTGCCAAAGAAGAGTCCAGTGAACCGAGTTCAATCCTACACAAACGGGTAAGAAGATATAGTTTTACATCCTATACCTCTGCAAGCTCTGTTTCTCTGCTCAACTGAAAGAGACTTATTACATTTATCCCCCTTTTTTATCACTTGGCAGATGCAGCTAGCATAAATCAACATTTCATTAGAGTTTCCCCAATCAACGACAACCACTTTGGAATGATGTGGAAAGATTTAAGCCCCTTTTATTGCACACTCTTTTATTTGCTAAAGAGCAGAGTGAGACCCATTTTGACCTCTAACCTTTCCATTGATAGGATGTAGAGCAATAGGGCCGTTCGAAAACAACAGGATTTATAGTCACTTACCAACCAAGGACCAAGGAAAAGGTTTGGTCTTAAAAAGCAGACAAGAGGTGAGGTAATTATTTTCTTGGCCAGTATTTCTGTTTCTATTTTTTCTTTTGGAACATTTTTCAATAATTTTTTTGACATAACTAATCTTGTATTAGTTTTTATCTTTGAAAGGGAAAGACAGCAGCATAGAAAAATTGGATGGTGACCTGCCTCACAAAGAAGAGGAAAATATAATGCAATGATCCGAATACAGAGTATCCACTATGAAAACAGATATAAACTGCAAAAGTGGTAAAAGACACACTGAATTTGTTAAAATTTGGGACTTTTTTCTGTTCTCACTTGATCTGAGTGGTACATTCATTTGCTCTTTATGTTTAATTTAACAGATGTACAGTTTGGCAGGAACCAGTCTGTGGATGTTGACTTCATAAATCTCTACCAGATTGTACAGTGAAAGAATGATGAGCAGTACATGTAGTTGACATGGGATTCAGGGTAAGATATAAACTTCTCCCTTGTGATATTTTATTTCCCTTTGCCATTTTATGAAATATTTGCTATTTTTGTTGTTGACTTCCATTCTATTTTTTTTTTATTTAGAGATAGAACAATATCCCTATTTCCTATATGAGAGCAGTCTGTTTGTCAAAGAAGAGTCCAGTGAACTTAGTTCAATCCTACACGAACGGGTAAGAAGATATGGTTTTACATCCTTTACCTATGCAAGCTCTGTTTCTCTGCTCAACTGAAAGAGACTTAATAATTGACCCCCCTTTTCTATCACTTGGCAGATGCAGCTAGCATAAACCAACGTTTAATTGGAGTTTCCCCAATCAATGACAGACAATTTGGAATGATGTGGTAAGATTTGAGCTCCTTTTATTGCACACTTTTTTATTTGCTTTAACAAAAACTAGAGTGAGACCCATTTTGACCTCTAGGCTTTCCATTGATAGGATGTAGAGCAGCAGGGCCCATCGAAAACAACAGGATTTATAGTCACTTACCAACCAAAGATCAAGGAAAAGGTTTAGTTTGTCTTAAAAAAGCAGACAAGAGGTGAGTTAGTTATTTTTTTGGCCTGTATTTCTGTTTCTATTTTTTCTTTTGGCACATTTTTCAATAATTTTTTTGACATAACTAATCTTGTATTAGTTTCTATCTTTGAAAGGGAAAGAGTGGAGCACAGAAACATTTGACGGTGGCCTGCCTCACAAAGAAGAGAAAAATATAATGCAATGACTGGAATACAGAGTATCCACTATGTAAACAGATATAAACAGCAAAAGTGGTAAAAGACACACTAAATTTGTTGCAATTTGGGATTTTTATTTTCTGTTTTCACTTGATCTGAGTAGTACATCTATTTGATCTTTATGTTTAATTTAACAGATGTACAGTTTGGCAGGAATCAGTCTGTGGATGTTGACTTCATAACTCTCTACCAGATTGTACAGTGAAAGGATGAAAAAAAAATTGTTAACATGGAATTCAGGGTAAGACACCAACTTTTCCCTTGTGATATTTTATTTCCCTTTGCCATTTTATGAAATATTTGCTATTTTTGTTGTTGACTTCCATTCTATTTTTTTTATTTAGAGATAGAACAATTTCCCTATTTTCTATATGAGATCAGTCTATATGCCAAAGAAGAGTCCAGTGAACTTAGTTCAATCCTACACAAACGGGTAAGAAGATATGGTTTTACATCCTTTACCTCTGCAAGCTCTGTTTCTCTGCTCAACTGGAAGAGAATTAATACATTTATCCCCCTTTTTTATCACTTGGCAGATGCAGCTAGCATAAATCAACATTTAGTTAGAGTTTCCCCAATCAACGACAACCACTTTGGAATGATGTGGTAAGTTTTAAGCCCCTTTTATTGCACACTCTTTTATTTGCTAAAGAACAGAGTGAGACCCACTTTGACCTCTAACCTTTCCATTGATAGGATGTAGAGCAGTAGGGCCCTTCGAAAACAACAGGATTTATAATCACTTAGCAACCAAGGACCAAGGAAAAGGTTTGGTCTTAAAAAGCAGACAAGAGGTGAGTTAATTATTTTCTTGGCCTGTATTTCTGTTTCTATTTTTTCTTTTGGCACATTTTTCAATTATGTTTTTGACATAACTAATCTTGTATTAGTTTCTATCTTTGAAAGGGAAAGAGTGGAGCATAGAAAAATTGGATGGTGACCTGCCTCACAAAGAAGAGAAAAATATAATGCAATGACTGGAATACAGAGTATCCACTATGTAAACAGATATAAACAGCAAAAGTGGTAAAAGACACACTAAATTTGTTGAAATTTAGGATTTTTATTTTGTGATCTCGCTTGATCTGAGTGGTGCACCTGTTAGACCTCTTTCTATGTTTAATTCAACAGATGTGCAGTTTGGCAGGAATCAGTCACTCTGTGGATGTTGACTTGATAACTCATTACCAGACTATACAGTGTACGGATGGAGAGAAGTCTTTAACATGGAAGTCAGGGTATGACACAAACTTCTCCTTTTGATATTTTATTTCCTTTGCCATTTTATGAAATATTTGCTATTTTTGTTGTTGACTTCCATTCTATATTTTATTTAGAGATAGAACAATTTCCTTATGTCCTATTTGAGAGCAGTCTGTTTGCCAAAGAAGAGTCCAGTGAACCGACTTCAATCCTACACAAATGGGTAAGAAAATATAGTTTTACATCCTATACCTCTGGATGCTCTGTTTCACTTTAAAAATATACCTGCTCAACTGTAAGAGACTTAATACATTTATCCCCCTTTTTTATCACTTGGCAGATGCAGCTAGCATAAATCAACATTTAGAGTTTCCCCAATCAACGACAACCATTTTGGATTGATGTGGTAAGATTTCAGCCCCTTTTATTGCACACTCTTTTATTTGCT